ATGTCTATTAGTACAACGAAGCAGTGTATTATAGTTATAAGGTTAGGAATGTTTTTCTACAAAAGAAAACAGTTTCATTAAGAAGTCGGTGAGGCATCCGTCCAATTTAAAACAGCGAAAACCGTATCTTCATGTGAGATCTTACGGCCAAAAGTGATAAAAAGAAACGTTCATATTAAAGAATTTAAATAAGAAACTTCGCCGGCCGCGTTTCAATTCAAACATTGGATTAATCCGGTCTTCTCTTTACGGGTAACAACTTTACCTAACTCGAGAAGTGTGTTCTCTCACGCTAAGACGCAAACTTTTTAGGCTTTGTAACTTGACACCGGTGGGAATAAAAACCTTTGTAATAAAGAACAGTTCAATAAAAAGTTTTCTTTGAACAATTCTGTTTTTTACTATTCATAGAACTACGGCCAGTCGTAAAACGGTCACAGTTTGCTGTGAGACCTGAAGTTCATGTCCGAATTGACATATAGAGTAGACTTTTGACAAGTTCAGCGTTTGGTGATGTGATAATTACCAAATCGATTGAGGCCAGAGGATTGACTGGGAACTATCGATCTAGAATAGTATTTCTTGACGTATAAGTCGTTTCTATCATCGCATAGCATAATATCCAAAAACATTTAATACCTACTGACTAGAACCGGCGCGTTCATCACAGTACGTTGACAGAGATGCCTCTTACCATACTGTTTCGAAATTAACTCCCATCGATGGTGTTTTCTGAGAGATAACACATTTCTGTGTTCAAACGATGTTTGAGGAGAGTCTATGGCGATAGACTGCGGCTTTGCCATGTATCTGACATTACCCATGAACTTGAGCGGCCGTGACGACCTAACACCAAGCGAGCGTTATTCTATTGTCTACCTATTGTTTTAGCCTACCTTTTAGTATACCTTACAAGCTTCAATTCAGAGTTTATATTAAGGTATCATGGCGGACGATGACAATATCCAGCAAATTGTGAGATAGCTTGTGTATACATAAAAAGATTCGGCTCACCATTCAGTTTTTTTTTCCTGCCTGATCTGAGAGCCTTGGGAGGCTATATCAGCGTAACCTTAACTAGTAGGTGAGCTCACGGGGCTCAGACCTGACAGCGTTGCTAACACAAACCCTAGCAAGAGCCGTGCTTCACAAAATCTACCACTGGATCGGAAACGCGACCCACTGAGAAGAACCATTCAGTGTTTATCCGCGTCGATAGACACACTCGAGTTGGGTACGCAGTACGTCACACGTGTCAATAAGGTGAGTGACGTCAACCCGGGTTGGACGGGTTTATTAATCTTACAAGATTTCTTGAAAATCTTATATGACGCCGGATGCCCGTTTCGTGGCGATTGGGCCACCAACCTCGAGACATGAGGTTGAGGTTGCTCGATAGGCAGCGGCTTGGCTCTGCCCCTGGAATTGCTGAAGTCCATGGGCGACGGTACCCACTGACCATCAGGTGTGCCGTATCCGTATGCTTGTCTGTCTGCCTACAAGGGCAGTAAAAAAAAGTCCACCTGGTTATAAAAATGGCTATTCTACCAATACCCGGAACCCTATAACTTTAAAAACCACTTTACCGTAGGAATAGGCAGATGCGTACCTAGATGACAGCGTCTTAAAACCAATTCGGGCCTGCCTATCAACTTACACAGAAAAAACTAATCTATTATCTTCTATCTTCTTCTTCTATATATACTTATATAAAAATGAATTGCTGTTCGTTAGTCTCGCTAAAACTCACGAACGGCTGGACCGATTTGGCTAATTTTGGTCTTGGATCATTTGTGGAAGTCCAGAGAAAGTTTAAAAGGTTTAAAATATGAAAATGCTCGGAATTAAACAAAAATAACAATTTTGTTTTTCCTTTGATGTGTCCCCCGTCGGACGGATTCCTTTTGTTTGTTTTAAGTTTATTTTATACACAAGCTTAGGTCTTTTATTTATCGATGGAGGCACTACAAAGTCTGCCGGGTCAGCTACTAATAATTAAAATACTAATTGCAAATATCCCCAAATTAAATTTTAATTTACGTCACTTTGATTCAAACTGTGATTAAGATTTATTATGTTTTTCAAAGCTACGGCCAAGCGAATCTTCTCCCAATTAATTATAATTGATTAAATTAAGTGCCCTTAACCACTCGGAAGTACTTCAATTTCAACGTAACAAATAAAGTTTCACTTTTGTAAATGTACACTCTTAAACGACGCTGTTAATTAGATCGACACTCGATACCTTAATTGCGCTTCAAGCCGCTTATAATTTATAAACAATTACAGATAACAATGGAGGTAAGTAATCATTTTACAAAACATTTAAAGATATAATTAAAACTACCTTTACAAAAAATAAGATGCCCGACGTAAACTCGAGCGATCCAAATGTGCAAGTAATAATCAAGCCCGTATAAATTTTGTTAATAGTAATTACTAAGCAATTCAAACGTAAACCTCAAGCCTCAAAGTGGGTGACGGCATACAAGTGATGATGTCTATGGACTCCGGTAAGCATTAACACCAGGGGGTCATGAGTTCGTTCACCCGTTTATGTATAGAAAACGAAATTCAATTGTTACACCACTTAAGCTGGAACGTGTATCAACTTAGCAACAGAAAAAGGTAGGATAATCACTCAATAGTGGTGCCTCACAACACCTCTATCTACACTCAGTATTAGGAGACTACTATTTATTCAGTAAATTTACTTTACTTCTAATCACTCTCTATCTTTAAAAATATCTTGACTCTCAGAGGTAAACTATCCAAAGAAAGATCGACTACTGTTTAATCAGTAAATTTACTTTACTTCTAATCACTCTCTATCTTTAAAAATATCTTGACTCTCAGAGGTAAACTATCCAAAGAAAGATCGACTACTGTTTAATCAGTAAATTTACTTTACTTCTAATCACTCTCTATCTTTAAAAATATCTTCTCTCAGAAGTACCTAAACTACCCAAAGGAAGACCTCGTCCAAACCAGATTTCACGATTAATAATCCAAATAAACATTAACAAAACACCACAAGATTTACTCAAAGAACAATTGTGGGGCGCTTACAACTACAAAGGTGAGCGTTTGCTTTCTTTTTGTTTGTCGCTAATGACCGGCGGAGAGCCGTGCCGTTGCCTAGCAACCGAACCCGCGGGATTCCTACGGCTATTCAATGCAAATGCGCTGTATGAAAAATATTTCGTACGTACTTTAATTCGTAAGGTTGTTTGCGCACATGTCAATATCACCGTGTTATTTTTTTAAGGGATTTTATGACCTGGTAACTAAGACCTTTAAGTCATGTTTTATCGTTTTTTATTTACCTCAAACTTATGGTAATCATTAAATAGTATTAGGACTTTTTGGCGGGAACGCGAGGAGTCAATTTGTGTGATTTGTTTTATTTTGTCTATTTAGTGTTTCTTCAGTTTAAATGTGTAATAACGTTGGTTTTTTTACTGTTTAATATCTGTGAAAGAGCACAAATGTGAAAAAATGAAACAAAGCCGCTGAACGTAATTTCTCGGGATCCTCCAAAAAGCCCACTGAAAAAGTCTGAGTAAATGACCGCCATTTTACTGAGATTATAATTCATCCCATATCATCTCATCTCATTTCATTTCATAATATCATTATTCATATAAAAAAAGTTTTCATTAAAATTAAAAAAAGACTTGACCTAAAGGTCTTAGTTACCAGGTAATAAAATCCCTTAAAAATGCTATTAGCAATTAATTCTAAGTTTATGTTGTGGTATCCTTGGACTTACATAACTCTTTAACGTCAAGAGAAAAAGTCAATTATAATAACACACTAAGAAATCATAGTAATGTGACATTAAGAATTCGGTAGCTGAAGGAAGGAGTTCACTCAACAGTTCCCCTCTTTTTTTTTTCAAACTCCAGGAACCGGATATACGGAGTGTGCTCGAATCATAATAGTCGATTCAGGGACAGCTATTCATACGAAATTGGTTTACTTTCTTGGGGGGAGCCGCGTATTGTAAACTAGCGACCCGCCCTCGCTTCGCTTCGGAAACTGTAATTTATTATTAATTTCTCCACTATTTAATGGACGTTATTATACATATGAATATTTCTCTTCAAGCATTCTATTTATTAAAAAAACCGCGTGAAAATCCGTTGCGTTGTTTTAAAGATTTAAGCATACATAGGGACAGATATAGGGACAGCGAAAGCGACTTTGTTTTATACTATGTAGTGATGAACAAGCAATCTTCGAGGGAGACAAAATTTGCCTTAGAGACATTCGGCGAGTGCAGATTTTTTCTATTTGTAATACTAAGGTCAATGCCAATACTAAGCTACATCGCATTAATGGTATGCATTAAGCCGTCGTGGCTTCAAGGATAAGGTCCCCGACGCACTCGTATCGAATGATAAGTCCATATTCGCGTAGGCATCAATTTTTCTAAAGAAAATCCATGCCTAAAACGGCATTGTGTTAACAAACAACTTTCTTCGATGTAAGAATATCATGTAATCAAATGTCGAACCCATAAAATTTTATAATTTACGTAATTACTGAGATATGCCCTTGTGAGTCCGCACGTTGGTAGGTGCCACCACCCTGCATATTTTCTGCCGTGAAGTAGTAATGCGTTTCAGTTTGAATGGTGGGGCAGCCGTTGTAACTATATTGAGACCTTAGAACTCATATCTCAAGGTGGGTGGCGGCATTTTCGTTATAAATGTCTAAGGGCTTCGGTAACCACTTAACATCAGGTGGCCTGTGAGCTCGTCCACCCATCTATGCAATAAATAAATAACATAAAAATTGAGGTTGTGACCTCATTTCTCAAAGTTGGTGGCGCTGTCCAATCTCAGACTTATTTAAATTGATTTTACTTAATTAATATTTAATTTCATCTTTCGTACCAGATATTTAGTTCTGGTACGTTTCTCAAAAGAAAAACCTCAGCTATTTTAACGGAACAAAGATTGATCAGTCATCACACGTTAAATCTGTCGATACAGGTGGTACCGGGAGACAGGTGGTGGCGTTCTGCGGGAAATACGAGACGGTGAAGGCAACGGTCGCTACAGCAAAACACATGACGCGCTGTCAATAAGGAGAACAGAGGTAAGAGGTAACATTGAAACAAACAGAGGTAACATTGAAACAAACAGAGGTAACAGTGAAAGAAATAGAGGTGACATTGTTAATTTATACGAAGGTAAACTAAAGTATGAGAGACCTATTTCTCAATGGTCACTGTTGCTTATGGGCCTACTACCTTCGAGTGGGAGCTATTTCCAAAACCAAATGGTTAATGTTATTGCTGGACGAGTTGGAGTCATTAGCTATGCTATGTTAAAAATAACATACTAAGATCTTCCCAAACAATTCCTGAGAGCACTCATGCCGAAACAAACTGTACACAGACAGAATGAGAGTTCTTTCATGGAGCCAATGTTCCCAAAATAAACATATCCTGACATTTATTGATATTAGCTTAGACGACCAAATGACGCCAAATGAACGTTACCAGAATTTTAAGTACCAATGTGGGAAAAGCAATCAATATTTCAATGGGATTGAGATATTTACTAATAGGGGTAGAAGGGGAAGAGGTCGACCAAAGAAGACATGGATGGAGTGTGTGAATGACGATATGAGAGAGAGAGGAGTGAGTGTTGAGATGACGGCTGATAGAAGAGAATGGAAGAGAAAAATTAGCTGTGCCGACCCCATCTAGTGGGATAAGGTGGAGAAAAAAAAGAAGAAGATATTTACTAATAACCTTCAAATGCTTGATTGTTGTATGATGAAAGAAAACACTCTACCACCAGAGCTTTGTTCATTGTTTCAAATCATTTCCCCCCCCCCTTTTCGCTAATAGCCTTGAGAGGCTGTTTCAGCTAACCTTAACACTAGTAGGTGAATTCACGGGCTCAGCCTGAGAGAGTTTGATAAAAATAACCCTAGGAAGAGCAGTGCTTCGCAAAATCTACCACCGAATCGGAATCGCGTCCCATTGAGAAGATCCGGCGAGAAAGTCATTGATCAAATCCAATAAATAGACTATGATATCAGCGGCTGAGCGACTCTAAAGAAAAAATTCGATATTTAAAAAAAATAATGAAATAATAATGAATAAAAAAAAATTAATGAAAAAAATAATGGGGTGCATGGTAGGTACTTATACCATTTCTTATATACCAATTCTTTACTCATATCTGTTTATAAAATATTTATAGCTATAAACATTTTATAAGCAGATATGAGTAAAAGAGTTATTTTGATATTATCCTGAAAAGCACCTTACGCTTTTTTACAATAAAATTATTTTTTCTTACTCTATTTTTAATTCAAATTTTTTATTCAAACTTTTTTTCTATTTTTTAGTTGGATTTTCTATAAAGGCGTATTTTGTTAGTTTTTTTTAAAACCATTATTTATATTTCATTTTTTAATTGAATTTAAATCTTTTCCATTTCTTTTTCAATTTTTTTTTAAATATTGTCTTGTCATCGGTCCTTAATAAGTATATCCAAATTTCGAGTTAATCCGACGTTTTGAAGGGGGTCAAAATCATGTTCAAATATTCCGTTACAAACATACGTCTGAAACCAATAAAAGCGTATTAAAAAAGAGGTTATTAATTTGATATTCGTGTGCAGATTGCAGACGGCGGTCGATGGGCGTGCAGAGCAGCCAATTCCCATGGCCACATTACGTTGCGGCTTCATTTGGCTGTCCACGCGCATCTAACGGCTCACGCGCAACCTCACACCCAGGTCAGCACAATTAGATTGATTTTACTAGACCTCCAATGTTGTTCCAGGAATAATTCGGATAGATATTAAAAAAAAGTGTACTTACACGATGGTATAGCAACCATATTCTCTCGTTTAGGGCTTTTGACTTCCGCACCAGTCAAAGCTTTCTCCGTCCATTATTTCACAGATTAAATGAAGAGAGAAGAAAAAAGAAACAAAACCTTACCGAGCCTTACAAGTAGTTCTTTCGTGATCTAAAAGTCAATTGTACTCACCTTTAGAGTAAATGTTAAATGTTAAACCAGTTGCTAATTACTAAGAGCCCGTTGCTGATATAACATTTTTGACGACATGGGATAAATCAATTAAGGACGTTTTCTCAATTACCAGAGTAGGTTGGAAAATAAATTTTTTCCCTTATACTTTTAATTTATATTCATATTAATTGATTTGGTTACAACTGCTTTGGGTGCTCTGAGGAATTTTTTGAGATGATCCCTTCATCTCCTTTTTATCAGAGCAGAGATTTTCAGAGCAGAGTTCACCCATATTATCTGGAACCGCTGTATTCATCGACAGTGCGTTTCCATAGGTCTTTTTTGACACGTACCATCCGGCTATGGAATGAGCTCCCCCCTCGGTGTTTCCCGAGCGCTATGACATATCCTTCTTCAAAAGAGGCTTGTGGAGAGTATTAAGCGGTAGGCAACGGCTTGGCTCTGCCCCTGGCATTGCTGAAGTCCATGGGCGACGGTAACCACTCACCATCAGGTGGGCCGTATGCTCGTCTGCCTACAAGGGCAATAAAAAAAAACAATTCATCTTTACCGTCAATATTTTATGCACTTAGCTATGTGATTACGTCACGTAGTTCTTGGAACTCTAACTTAAGAATGAAGGCGTTGAGCAGGGAAGCATGTCAGTCGTTTGATAGATAGCTGTCGGCGACGACAACGTATGTCAGTAACATTCAGGAAGTACCACAAAAGACATTCGTTCTAAAGCCTTCGACATAAATTAATTAACACTATTTAATGAAGTTCTGAATTTCCTTTTCCTCGTCGTGTAATTGAAAAAATACATACCTACACGAACACCGTCAATTTTAGGGGTAATTTAATTCACTTATTGGAACGGTCACAGGAAATTACGATGAATGTGTTCTATATATGAGTCGACTATTATCAAAGGCGGCAATCTGACTTTTGGACAATGATTGGTAAATCAGAAAAATGAATTATTGACTTTGTATTCCATCGGCAGTCACAAAACTCTTCAGAACGACATCTTAGATAAATAACAGATTAACTATTAACCTTTATTTAATGCAGGTTTTGAACCGTATTCTTTGAAGGAGACGATTATATTCAAATCAATCTGTATTGACATATCAATAAAAAATTTTTGTCCAAATGCACAGATTGCCACCTTTGATAATAGACGACTCATATAGAGTATATGTAATTTTCTGCTTATTAAATGTTTGATTGAGGTAAACGTTTTCAGGAATGCCATCCATCACTTTAGCAAATTCTCAATTCGTCATTTGCTCAAAGAGAACTTTTCCTCTTGGTCTCGGTCTTTTTTCACAAGCGAAATTGAAATATTAATTAGATCGCCGTCCATAAAATATGAATTTCAAAATTGTGTAGCACATTTTTTTTCGGATATAGCTCACGGCGATAAAACTTTAAGGTTATATATTATAGTATTACTTAACTATCCCCGGTGACTGCTTACAAGCAAAAAAATTTTAATGTTTTTTTTTTATTGCTTAGATGGGTGGACGAGCTCAAAGCCCACCTTGTGTTAAGTGAATACTGGAGCCCATAGTCATCTACTATAATACATTTGAGATATAAGTTCTAAGGTCGCAGTATAGTTACAACGGCTGCCCCGCTCTTCAAACCGAAACGCATTACTATTTCACGGCAGAAATAGGCAGGGTGGTGGTACCTACACGTGCTGATTCACAAAAGGTCCTATCACTAGTACTTAAGCAAATTATAATTTTGCGGATTTGATTTGATGTTATTCCTTCATCGTGAAAGTCAATCGCGAACATTTATTAAGTGCATATTTCATTGGAAAAATTGGTACCTGCCGGCGAGATTCGAACACCGGTGCATCGCTCGATACGAATGCACCGGACGTCTTATCCTTTAGGCCACGACGACTTCAAACACAAGACACGCTTTTCACACAACAATTATTTTATATTATACAAACAAATACATATATATTATACATAGTTTAATTAAAATCCAAAATCCTTATGTGGATCTAAATTCAAAGCAAGCATTTAGGCGTCTGTCATTTGGATCAGAGATGTGGGGAGCTGTTTGAAATGAGTGCGAGTGACGTCATCGGTTGGATTTAATGCATCCTGAGGTTTCAGAGCATTGGTCTCGACATTTCAACGATAAATGCATTGAAACTTACTCGTTAACAAAATATTTACGCTTTATATAGGGGTTAACCTGACCACCTGAATTATAATTAATCCAAGTTTTAACAAGTTTTAATGTTATAAGTGTTTACGTGGTTGATGTCTATTGGCTCCGGTAGCCGCTTAAAATCAGATGGACTGTGAGTTCGACCGCCCGTATATAAGCAATAAAAAAAATTACTTCTATTTTTATTATATAAAAAAGTTATATCAAAATATCCTTACCTGAATTATATTTTAATTAATCCAAGTTTTTCTAAGGATAAATGGTCTGATAATGTAATTGGATCAGGCTTTCAGCGAAAGGGCTTTAGTTAAATTTTGCGGAGACTTAGGCAAACTTCATGATTGAATTACATGAAAACATGTTGATTTATACAATACGAATTTTAGTTCAAGTCACGAGAATTAATCTGTAGATACTTAGTGACTGGCTGAATTCATTCGTGAAATGCCGAAATGGATTTCGACGCTCAGAATTATTTAAAAATATCCTTCCTAACTACTACAACATTGATTAATTCTACAATCGTATTATCAAAACACTAACAAATGTGTATTATTTAATCAAATTTATTTAAAAGAGGCATGGAAATTAAGATAAGAAATTAAGATGCGGTAGGCAGCGGCTTGGCTCTGCCCCTGGCATTGCTGAAGTCCCTGGGCGACGGTAACCACTCGCGATCAGGTGGTTCGTATGCTCATCTGCCTACAAGGGCAATAGAAAAAAAAAACATTTTTTTTTAAATTCAGTTTCGGATATGTACCACCATCCTGTCCATTTTTGCCACAAAGCAATCATGCGTTACAGTTCGAACACGGCAGTCGTAACTGTAAAGCAATTACTACTTTCATGCAATTATTACTATAGATAACATCAAAAAAAAATCGGTCGAAAAAAAAACAGCCCTTATAGACAGAAACAAAAAACATTAAAAATAACAATGCCCAAAGCAATTCCAGACTATTCGACACAAGCTTTTCTATCAACAAGCTTTCTCCAAGGTTGAAGCATTTTTCTGATCTCCTAAAAAATATACACTCTCCACGGACCTCTGTAAATATTGTAGTTGGACCTTCAGAGGAGGGGATCTAAACTGTCTTGCGAGATTAACCTCGCTTTCTCAATTAAATATTTAACTGTTCTGTCCATACGAGAAAATCACGTTCCCAAAATAAATTAGATATTTCAGTTGAGAATTTACTTGTTTTATTTACTCTCGTGCAAAGTGGTTTATGTTTAAGGATACTTTTTTTTTTAATTTGAAGGATATTCTTCTGGATTTAGAATTCATACAGATACAGATGTACTGATACTGATACGGAGACCTTAGAACTTATATCTCAAGGTGGGTGGCGCATTTCCGTTGTAGATGTCCATAGACTCCAGTTACCACTTAACAACCAGGTGGGCTGTGAGCTCGTCCAACTAAATGAAAAAAAAAAAAAAAAAAAAACAATATGTATTTCATCATCTTTCTCCTGCCCTTCTCCCAGTCACCTGGGTTTGGCGCAACATGCTTTCTCCTCCCATACTCGTCTATCATATACCATTTCTTCGCTCATTCCCATCTTAAACATATCGTCTTTCACGCAATCCATCCATTTCTTCTTAGGTTTACCTCTTCCTCTCCTCGTGTATGTGTTTTGTAATCATTCACTAATATGAAGATTGCGTATACTTTTTTTGCTTAAACGAAGCTCACTGTCTACCTTGTGGTTAATGACCCTATAAGCATCAACAACGTAATTGCTGCTACCAAGCTTGAGACATGAGTTCTAAGTCTCGGTTTCATAGTACAATGACTGCTCCATCCTTTAAGACGAAACGCATTACTGCTTCACTGCATAAATAGGTGGAATGGTGGTACCTATCCGTGCGAACTCACAAAACTCCCTATCATCAGTAGGATGCGGACTTACAAAACGCCCTGTTGAACGGTAATTTCCACTGGTGGTAGGACCCTTTGTGAGTCCGCACGGGTAGGTACCACCACCCCGCCTATTTCTGCCGCGAAGCAGTAATGCGTTTCGGTTTGAAGGGTGGGGCAGCCGTTGTAACTATACTGAGACCTTAGAACTTATCTCAGGGTGGGTGGCGCATTTACGTTGTGGATGTCTATGGGCTTCAGGAACCACTTAACACCAGGTGGGCTGTGAGCTCGTCCACCCATATAAGCAATAAAAATAAAATAAAAAATCCTGTAATGACTAACGTGATACAATTAAAAATTGTAACAATTGTAATAAAGAAAGGATGCAAAGTAAAATAATCAGGAGTATAGTCAATAGACGTGTGTAGTCAACGTGCTAATGTGTCAGCGCAGCAGTACATCTGTGATTAATAAAGAAGTGCACATGGGTGATTTCAATACAGTTTCTGTGCAAAATACAGCACGGTCCAAAAAAACATTGGTGCCCAAAACGGCGCACAATCGGACGGCGCCATCCAAAACTACCAACAGCATTAACAATAAAAATATAATCTCGTTTCCTCAAATATAATGCTTAATCGAAGCCGCCAAAAAATATTTATTGGCTCGAATATTACGCCATTTCGTTGAACGTTAATACGAATTTGTCCTGCGCCGCGGCGCCGTCATATTAAAACGAATAACGGTGAAATAAAACTGAGAAGCGAAAAGGTCGCGGGAACCCTTCCTGATTGTTTCAGATTGGAAGGGATGAGGCAAACATTTGTAAGGGACTTCGATTGTTAGTGGACGCCCTTTTAGGCGAGGAATTGCAAATCAGATTGTTTGAAACAAGGACGAGATCTAACGAGATGTGCCATTTCATTTTTGATTCGGTCAGTGGACGCTGACTCGTCAATTGAGAAATCGAATAATCCGATATGTTTAGGCAAAAACCGTAAATCTTGATCATTTTTTGAAATTCATATTTCATACTGCCGCAATAAGGTAGACTCAGTGGTGCTCGCAGTATATAAATATTCCATGGGAATGCCACCATCGACTGAAAACCAAAGTATGAGATCAAAGTTTTTGTATCACGGCTACCCAGAGCTCTGGGTCCGAACGCATGACTGCTTCGCGATTATAATGTTGGTTATAATCTGGTTTAATCTGGTTAAAAGCTGGTTAGTGCAAAGGATAATATTATAATACGGAGAACCAAACATTAACAGAAAAAAAAATACGGTAACAAAACTGTTAAGAATCATTTCATGCTTAGTTTCTCAATCGTTTTTATTTATTTTCTTTTTAATACAAAAGACTATTAAATCAGTATAACGTGGTTTAGTTTCGGTTAACTTTGGCCGATATCTGTGAAGCATCAACGCGCCTTGGGAACATGGCATTACACTAAAATCCTCCTACGCTCATAATCCAAGAGTTAACTAGACAGAGCTTGAGAGTCAGATGACAATGGCGGGCCTCTAGTGAACTTGGAATCGTCATGATAGAATAGGTATTAGTGTATTAGCTTAGTGGTTTATAAGGTTAAAAATCAGGATAAATCAATAATGAGGAAGTTGTAGCTTTTTAAAGATTTTCAAAGAGATTTTGAGCCTAAAGCAACTTAAGTAAAAATCTGAGTAGAACTAAGTTACGATTTGTGCTAGTACCCCGATGCTATATCTTCCGAAAATATCAACCATTACAAAATACGTGACGTTGCAAATACCCTGCTAGTCAATAAAGCCCACATTATCTCACACTGTAGATGATATTTAAAAAAAAAACAATAAAAAGACTCGTCTTCTTTTCGTAAAACTATAAATTTCACATAAGGATGTTTTTGTAAATAGTTCAAACACGATAAACCTTACACACAGAATTGATACGTTTATTTTTGTATAGCAGCTACGAATGGGGAATCGTAAAGTAAAATAAATGTCGCTACATTCGATACCGCGACCGCAAACATTGCGCGCTACGATTGTTACAGGCTCGTACTCAGTTATTGAGGTCGAAACGAATTAACCTCAGAGTCTTGTTTGGAATCGAATAATCTACATGTAGGATCGGGGCAATAAATGAGAACGGAACATTCTTTTTTTTTATTTTTCATATTGTTACGCGCCGGGGTTCGGGATAAATAAAAATTCTACCGACGTACAAATCAAAACTCTATTAAGCACTTGAACAATCACAGATCACTTAAAAACTTTTATGAAGTCGTCGTGGCCTAGAGGATAAGACGTCCGGTGCATTCGTATGTAGCGATGCACCGGTGTTCGAATCCCGCAGGCGGGTACCAATTTTTCTAATGAAATACGTACTTAACAAATGTTCACGATTGACTTCCACGGTGAAGGAATAACGTCGTGTAATAAAAATCAAACCCGCAAAATTATAAATTGCGTAATTACTGGTGGTAGGACCTCTTGTGAGTCCGCACAGGTAGGTACCACCTCCCTGCCTATTTCAGCCGTGAAGCAGTAATGCGTTTCGATTTGAAGGGTGGGGCAGCCGTTGTAACTATACTGAGACCTTAGAACTTATATCTCAAAGTGCGTGGCGCATTTATATTGTAGATGTCTATGGGCTCCAGTTACCACTTAACGCCAGGTGGGCTGTGAGCTCATCCACTCATATAAGCAATAAAAAAAAATAAAAAAACTCGTAATTCACTTCTCCCGCTTCGCTTCAGGTGTTCCGTTCGCTGTTTCAGTTCGAGTAGTTCCGATTACTGACTAATTTCGTGACATCCCTGCAACGTTTTTATAGTCAATACGATATCCCTAGAACTATCGAGAATATACCTCACAATTCGAGTATTTTCGATATGCGTTTCCTGCATTCGACAATAGATGGCGTTGTGCTTCTCGAGCATTATTGACTTTACTTGTTCTTTTGATATTCGTCTCTGCTATTCGACGATAGATGGCATTGGTCTTAACGGCGTAATAATATGTTTTATCTTTAGTACAAATTATACAATCTTTACTTTAAAGTCTTCATTTAATAATTCTTTTCTCTGACATCGCTGTCACACATTGTTGCCTCGTGCGGTGTTGTCATTTAAAGCTGTGTCCGTACGTGACTCAAAGGCTGTCTCCTGTGCCGGTATTGCATTACATTTCTATAATTACAATTGCACCTGGCAATCACATACTCATGTAATTTAATACGGAGTTATTTGTCGTTTATTGGTAGTGAAAAGGGAAACGGTCGACCGAAGAAGACATGGATGGAGTGTGTGAATGACGATATGAGAGAGAGAGAGAGAGAGGAGTGAGTCTTGAGATGACAGCTGATAGAAGAGAATGGAATAGAAAAAATCGCTGTGCCGACCCCACCTAGTGGGGTAATGTGGAGTAAAAGAAGAGTTATTTGTCGTGTTGTATAAGCTCTTGGATGACGTCCATGGGTGACAATCAATCACCCTCCATCAGATGGGCCGTATGCTCGTCTTCCTACGAAAACAACAAAATATATTAGCAGATATAAGTTTTCGGTTAAAAAATAAGTCCTCGACTGCGCCCCTGTACTGCGACAATATTTACGCTTGTTCTGAAATATTGATATCGTTATTATCGAAACGCGGATAAAATTAAACGTTTGTCCAATGATTAATACAAAATTTAATAATCATAGGTTTATTGTTATAATTGATTTAATTAATTACTCAATTAATTTTCAATTGTAAATTCTGATGTAGATCTTTTTATTTGACGAAACTATTGTGTATAGCTTTATAGATAACAGGGGTAAAAATATAAAATCGACCATAAATTTCCCCAAATGATTCCTGTGAATTTTCACTTAGTAACTCATCGACTTTAAACATAAGATTTTGTAATTATAAATTTTATTTGTAATTTTGTTTCCTTAAAATACAGCTGTCACTTCGACCTCATGTTTCTAGTATACAAGTACTAGTATTCCAATACATATTCATTGTACGCCAACCATTTAAACTTACTAAAATGATGTGAAATTTACAGTCAAAGGTGTATAGTATAATAGTGTTACACCGGTAAGAGTAACGCCATCTATCGCCGAAAAGTCGAACGAATATCGAAGGATCTAGAACGCTCGAGAAGTACAACGCCATCTATTGTCGGCCAGCGGAAACACAATACTCGAAATGTATGGAATATTCTCGATAATTCTAGGGATGTGGTATCGGCTATAAAAGCGATGCAGAAATGGCACGCAGTTAGCTAGTAATCGGAACTACTTGAAGCGAAGCAGCGAACAGATCACCTAAAGCGAAGCGGAAGAAGCGAATTGAAAATTTTACAATGTTTATAAAGTGTTTTAAATGTTATATGTGCTAATACAGTATTAACTTGTCATTCGGTAGAATTTTTTTATTTCGCCCGAACCCCAGTAACTGCAAAGGTATTAATTGTTTTTATTCACCTTTTTAGGCCGACGAGTATATGGCTCACCTAATGGTGAGTAGTTACCATTGCTCATGTATGACAGCAATACCAGGGACAGAGAGCTAAGCCACTCCCGAAGTTAACCGTAAAATCGGACAACGCTATGTCTATTCCAATTCATGTTTATCCTAATTACAATAGTCCTCTTAATGACGATACTTTTCCTCAACAGGTAGTCAATAGTGGAGGAACAGCCACAATGAACTGCACTTGGGGAGGATGGCCATCCCCTCGACTTGAGTGGCTTCATAACGGCATTCCTCTTGGCGCTGGAGTTGCGGGTGGCAGGGTCCGGGTCCTCAACAACGGGGAGCAGCTTATTATCTCATCAGTCCATCGAGCTGATAAAGGAGTGTATCAGTGTATAGCCAGAAATGAACTGGATTCCGCACAGGCCAGCGCTGAGCTGAGGCTGGGAGGTACGTACCAGCAATATGATGTTTCCCAGATGTTGACATAAATGTGTTGAAAAACAATTGTTGAATTTACTGGTGGTAGGAACTCTTGTGACTGGTGGTGGGACATTTTGTGAGTCCGCGCGGGTAGGTACCACCACCCCGCCTATTTCTGCCGTGAAGCAGTAATGCGTTTCGGTTTGAAGGACAGGGCAGCCGTTGTAACTATACTGAGACCTTGGAACTTATGTCTCAAGATGGGTGGCACATTTGTTGTAGATGTCTATGGGCTCCAGTAACCACTTAACACTAGGTGGGTTGTGAGCTCGTCCACCCATCTAAGCAATAAAAAAAAGAACAATTTTTTCTCACAAACAAGGAGATAAGAGCTCACGGGCCGAACCTCAAAAAGTTGTGTACTAGTCTATTTTTTTTTTTTTTTTGGGTGTCTAGCTTGCTAGTGCTATTGAAACACTAACGTAGTGAACACTGGAGTAGTGCTTCACAGAATTTACCACTAGATCAAAAAGGCGAGCCAATGAGAAGACCCGACGTGAAACTCCTTAAGCAATCATAGCGAAGTTTGATTTAAGTAGGCAAACATTTTAATTGTTGTTGAAAACCGAACTAAAATGTATTTTACAAAAACAAATAAGTTTTCTATGTGGGCTCTAATATTTTTTGTCCAATATTAATAACAATATAAAATAATTTAATGGCAGCCATAAATACTAGCAGCTTTATCTTTACGTTGCGTAAATGTATACCATAGATACATGAATCTAATACCATATACCATAATATTCATCAGTACCATAGACATAGACACAGTGAAGCCGTTGCCTATTCCTAGAAACTCTCGAGGTCTTGTTGGTTATTTGTTTTCTGTAAGCGCGTCCTAGATCAAACACCTCAAAGTAGTGGGGTAGCTTCCTTTGAGCAGGAAGGAAACTGCACGGTAATGACGGAATCTTCTCAAATAATACCTTAGAACATGTCCATAGAACATGCGGTGCAACACAACTAACACAGATATAGTCTCCCGGTTAGAGCCCAGTGAGCTCACCTACACGTCAAGGAGAAGCTGAAATAGCCTCTCAGGGCTATCAGCATAGGTAGGGAAAAAAAGATAAAGTCTGCCGACATAGAGATTATAAGACATATCTCGATCATCATCAATCAGCCCACATTGCCACCATACCTGAATCATTCATCTATCAGTGCTCAAGATCATACTTGGTACTACGTACATTTTGTGGTCGTCGTGGCCTAACGGATAAGACGTCCGGTGCATTCGTGTTGAAGCGATGCACCGGTGTTCGAATCCCGCAGGCGGGTACCAATTTTTCTAATGAAATACGTACTCAACAAATGTTCACGATTGACTTCCACGGTGAAGGAATAACATCGTGTAATAAAAATGAAACCCGCAAAATTATAATTTGCGTAATTACTGGTGGTAGGACCTCTTGTGAGTCCGCACGGGTAGGTACCACCGCCCCGCCTATTTCTGCCGTGAAGCAGTAATGCGTTTCGGTTTGAAGGGTGGGGCAGCCGTTGTGACTATACTGAGACCTTAGAACTATATCTCAAGGTGTGTGGCGCATTTACGTTGTAGATGTCTATGGGCTCCAGTAACCACTTAACATCAGGTGGGCTGTGAGCTCGTCCACACAGCTAAGCAATAAAAAATAAATAAAAAAAAAAAACATACATGCTACGAGCAGCACTTGTAAGGTCACTAAGCATGTGTAAGGTCATAAAGGTCATAAAGATGTAATTTTTTATCCGATTCAAACATATCGAGTTGTTTCACTGTTAATAGATACGGCACCAGAACTCCAGTATACCTTCATAGAGCAAGTGCTTCGACCGGGTCAAGTTGTCACTTTGAAATGCTCAGCAGTGGGATCTCCACCTCCACACTTCTCTTGGATGCTTGATGGTCAACCTTTAAACACCATGGCAAGGGGACACAGGTAAATCGTAAACCTTGAATCAGCTGTGAAAGTTCTTCGGATACTTTACTGAGACTATGAGAGTAACTATACTGAGACCTTAGAACTTATATCTCAACGTAGGTGGCGCATTTACGTTGTAGATGTCTATGGGCTCCAGTAACCACTTAACATCAGGTGGGCTGTGAGCTCGTCCACCTACCTAAGCAATAAAAAAAAAAATTAGCGAGATGTCACGTGATACAGATGTGTTTTGAAGCCATGCAGATTTCAACCTTCCTCCTGCGTACTATTTTACCGCAAATAAAGCATTAACTTTTAAGGGGTTTCGATCTTCAACGTGGACAATAATAAGAAGCCGAAATCCAATCGTAAAATACTTAAAAACAATATGATACCTACATGTGTCAGCTTACCATACTGTGGGAACTAATTGCCTGCCCATTTATTCATCATCAATGTTTTGTTATACAGGTATAGCGTGGAACAATTCGCAACGAAGTCTAATGATGTGATCAGCTATTTAAACATCACGTCTGTGAGATCGGAAGACGGTGGCTTATTCACGTGTCGAGCTGCTAATTCACTCGGAGAGGTCTCGCATACTTCCAGACTTAACATCTATGGTGAGTCAGTAAAATTAACCTCTCAGATTAGTTCAGAACTCTGAGGTTTTCAGGTCTACCACTGAATCCACTGAAGTCGTCGTGGCCTAAAGGATAAGACGTCCGGTGCATTCGTATCTAGCGATGCACCGGTGTTCGAATCCCGCAGGCGGGTACCAATTTTTCTTATGAAATACGTACTTAACAAATGTTCACGATTGACTTCCACGGTGAAGGAATAACATCGTGTAATAAAAATCAAACCCGCAAAATTATAATTTGCGTAATTACAGGTGGTAGGACCTCTTGTTAGTCCGGACGGGTAGGTACCACCGCCCCGCCTATTTCTGCCGTGAAGCAGTAATGCGTTTCGGTATGAAGGGTGAGACAGCCGTTGTAAGTATACTTGAGACTTTAGAACTTATATCTCAAGGTGGATGGCGCATTTACGTTGTATATGTCTATGCGCTCCAGTAACCACTTAATATCAAGTGGGCTGTGAGCTCGTCCACCCATCTAACCAATAAAAAATAAAAATAAAGTATTAGTGCTAATGCTAAAACAACCCTACCGTTTGTGTGAGTTGTCTCGAAAATTATTAAAAATGAAATCGAAAAAAGGAATTTTATATATTATTCAAAGGGGACAATTTTTATTCGTAATATGTAAGAGCGTTTATTTAAATTAAATTGTTTAATTCCAAGGACCTCCATACGTCAGGTCGATTGGACCAATAAGAGCTGTCGCCGGTCGTGAGTTATTACTTTACTGCCCGTACTCTGGCTATCCTATCAGGTATGTTAATTTAAAACATTGTATTGTACTCTGAAAAAAACAAAATTTTTTGGAAATTCGATTAAGTTATTTGAAAAAATTATTTTAATAAAATAAAAAGGTATGTTGAGGTCAAATATTGTTTATTAAACCCATCTTACGGATGTCAGTGTGTCTTCTTAAGTCATGAAAGAGAAACTAAGAATAAAAAATAAAAAATATTAAAAAAAAAACTAACAAAATACGGTTTTATAGGGGTCGAAATCAAGTTCAAAGATTCCGTTACAAACATATACAAGTCTGAAGCTAATAAAAAACGTATTAATGATCATTTACTTCATGTTCTTCAAAGCACAGAACCGATCATGTCTAATTTTCGGGAAGGCCTATGTTCAGTAATCTATGTCTAGGCTTCAATTTGGAACACTTGACCGTAGCAGCAAAAAAACAGCTAATATAGCTTACAGCTAAAAATCTGAATATTTTTAGCGATAAGCGGTGACCAGTATGTGCTTCTGTCATTACTGATATCCATCACCATCAGGCCCGTCCGCCTATGGAGGCCATAAAAAAGATGTCACCAGTTAGTGTGGGATAAATAATAGAATACCAGATGTAAAGATTTTTTAAGCCGTAAATGTATTAAGCTAGTGAATTAACGTAAACAGAAAACGAATTTCATTTACGAACCTAAGTTCTCATACTTGTCGTTTCAATTCCATGTCGTTAAACTGTAATATGTATCTCTGTACTTCATCAAGTTCGTAGCTTACACTAGATGCTTAGGCTGCAGATGTTTACGGGCCAAAACAATTACAACTTGAATCGGCGGACCATTTAAACTAAATATCAGCCTCCAAGGAAAAAATATAGCTAATGTTTTCGGCCTTAATGGTATTTTCATTCGAATTCGATTATTGTGAATACGATATTTTATATATTCAATTTTCTCAATATTGCGACAAGATTACGATCGTTTATTTTAATGCTCTGCCTACAGTTGTTGGTGCAGACATGGATTACACGAATCAATTCATCATACATTACGTGTTTTACAAAACTAGCTTTTCAAACATGAATTTTGTTGTTACCATACTTTATCTTTTACTATCTGACCCGGCAGACTTCGTAGTACCTCAATAGATAAACAAAAGACCTAAACATTTGTATAAAATAAACATAAAACAAACAAAAGGAATCCACCCGACGGGGGACACATCAAAGGAAAAATAAAATTGTAATTTTTATTTAATTCCGAGCATTTTCATATTTATCTACCTTTTAAACATTCTTTGGACTTCCACAAATAATTCAAGACCAAAATTAGCCAAATCGGTCCAGCCGTTCTCGAGTTTTGGTGAGACTAACGAACAGCAATTCATTTTTATATACTTATATATCTGTTATCTATTACTTGTACTCAATCTCTAAAAAGATGCCACAACCCTATGTAAATACATATTTCAACTTAATACTTAAGCTGTATAATATGTATTTTCAAAGACACCAAATTCGCTTTTAAATTAAGCAATCGCCTTTAAGACATGTTTCTTCTTCAGCTCAGTAAAATGGGAACGAGACGGAAGCCCAGTAGAATGGGAGAGCAACATTGATGGCGGCCTGAAAGTGTCAAGAGTGGAAGCATCTCATGCAGGCGCCTATACTTGTGCCGTAACTGGACCTCACGGAGAGATAGCCAGGAGGGAGTTGCAGCTCGTTGTTAGCAGTTAGTTTTATTACCTTAGTATTACTAAATTCAAAACTTAAAAGCTTTATTGATTTATCAAGGCTTATATAATGCACTAGCTTTTGGCCGCGACTTCGTCCGCGTGGAATAGTTACTTTGGGATAACGTTAAGTTTTACCTGCGACTTCAGTTACGTAGAAGGGGGAAAAAAACGTCCTGATCTTGAAATATTCTTTATAAGTGCTCCGCTTGTATTGATATTAGCGTGATGTTATAGCCTATAGCCTTCCTCAAAACATAGGCTATCTAAAACTGAAAGAATTTCAAATCGGACCAGTTGTTCTTGAGATTAGCGCGTTCAACCAAACTCTTCACCTTTATAATATTAATATAGAGCTTAGATTTATTTTGAATTCAGGCTCGAATCGTGCATAATGGGCATAAGTAATGGATTAGAATTAAGACCGGGACAAGAGATCGCTGTGGATAAGCTGGAGTTGATAGACAACCTTTAGTTCTGTGGGAGTACTTGCAGAGTACATAATTTTCGTGTTTAATATCATCGCGTTTATACGGAGTTTTGTAAAGCGTATATAATTTCATGACGGTACTCTAACAAATAATGTCTGAAATTACGACAAGTCTGGTACAATTGTTAGGATCTTAATCTTAGTAACCGTTGTGTAAATTGATAGTTTAACATTAAGATAAATAAGTAATTTTATAAATTTAATTTTATGAGTTTTTTTTATAGATCCACCTGAAATAGAACCTTTTTCATTCTCTGCGAACCTACAAGAGGGAAAACGGGCACAAGTCAGTTGCAGTGTCACTTCCGGAGACATGCCGGTTCATTTCACTTGGCTCAAAGACAATGGACCTATTCCTTCTAACTTGCAGGTCTGTGCAATTATTATTTTTTGTAACGAAGTTCCTTATGGGACGATGTGGGGGGGTACCCTAACCGAGAAAAAACGTCCGTAACGTAAGATTTTTATTAGTAATGCACACAGTGTACGCCTTAACTTTGTTATAACGTACAAAAAATAACATATTTTTTTATCATTCATTGACCACGATCTCAGAGCGTTCGTTTGCGCAATAGACTAACTCTTATGCAAACAACCGTGAATGAAGTGTACCACAATAAGCTCGCGCGCTACCGAATGACCGTGGGTTGCTGCGAATCGAATACAACTTAAAATTAATATTTTTATAATAAGGAACTTCGTTCCTATCCGGGGTCCCACGACACCATACATCTCCTTTTTCCTGCCTTAGCTGATAGCCTTGAGAGGCTATTTCAGAGTAGCCTTAACTAGTAGGTGAGCTCACGGGGCTCAAACCTGACGACCTTGTTAACACGAACCTTAACAAGAGCCGTGCTTCACGGAATCTACCACCGGATCGGAAACGCGACCCACTGAGAAGATCCGGCGAGAAACTCAGTGGGCTGTGCAACATTAATAAATATTCCTCGACCGGGTATCCGTATAGTGAGATTACCAAAAAAAGGTCTGTGCAATATTAAACCAAGTAACACTGTGGCTTACGGATACCCTATAACTACAGTGCGAATGAAATTGCTGTGAAATATTATTCTAGACGTTTTCTTCAACGAGTGCAACAGAATTACTGAATGAACACACGCAAGATAATAATCAAATATTTGCATGATTAAATAAGTTTACTTACTGCATTAGCTCATTGTTCTACATAAATACCTTTCGATGAATTATTTAAGTTCTCTCAAAACTAAACAGTGTGTGGTACTAACTTCTTTATAGAATAAACCCCGAAACGATAATTTCCGTTTATAGTCGGGTTGAAAATTGAATTCATGGACATATCGGCAGAGTTTTAAAACAGTTATGCGATTTAATAGAGATAATGAATATTCGTTCGTTCACAATTGACACTGATGATATTTTCACGATTAAAAAAACCACGAGGGCAATTCTATAGGTGGAAGAGCGGGGTGCAGAGTTTTTCAGCAATCTAGTATTCAAAGAGGTGTCCGCCCGTCACAGCGGGTTGTACACTTGTGTGGCTTCTAACACTGCAGCGAAAGTTAACTATACCGCTGAACTGGTGGTCAAAGGTAACGGGTTCATGTTCGAGCACATGAGCACAGAGCACACGACCACAAGAGCACAAGAGCTGAGCACTGAGCACTTTCACGCTTGCACTGGTAGCAGGAAAGTTCGGTCATAAATCGTCGCGTTTTGACCGGCTTAAGACTTACAATAAAAAATTGTCCACAACAAATACTCCGCAATGGGTCGCTTGTCTGATGGTAGTTGACTTAATCTTTTAAGCCAGCGGTCGAAGAACCGGGGTAAATTACCCCAAATGGGGTAAAATGAAATTTTGGGGGGGTAAAAATGAAACTTTTGTGAGTAAAAAGTATATATTGAAGTGAAACTTCTTTAGAATCGTTAAATTTTTAGTTATTGTTTTCTTTTCAAAATTATTATGGGGTCTATAATATGAAAGATACTAAAAAGAAGCGATTTCGTTTTTTTTTTGTTCTTGGCCATGGGGTAATATCAACTTACACAAAAATATTTTGGGGTAATAATTAAAAAAAGTTCCCCGACCGCTGTTTTAAGCCCTTTTTCCGCGGACTGCCCTTTGAAAATCATTGGCCGATAAGAATGAACTTCAGCGCGTATTAAAGCGTTTCGTAAACTATCAAAGCCTTGTCAAACTATAGACGATTTGTGATTGCCAAAGCTTTTTTCACGTCTGCTATTATTGATAAGCATTTTAAAGCATTTGAAAAAAACTGTTCCTTTTGATGTGATAGCTTCTTATAAGCCGATGAACATCGGCTACACGCACGAGAAAGTGTCACGTTCCGCCTGAGCGTGCAAGCGAAAGCGCGGAACAAGCGATATAGACGCACGATCGGCCCGAGCGTTGTCTTGTGACACATTTTTCTCTCTTCTCGCGTGACGTCAGAGCTAGCAGCTCGAATAGTTCTGCTACTGACGTTATCACATAGAACTATTGTCCGTAAACCGACTTTACAGAGAACCAATGTTTTTTTTGTATTCAAAGCAACGTGAAATAAGTTTTAATGTAATAATCTGTAATAATCTGGTTGGATATAATTGAATACTTTGATTTGGAAAAGCCACGTTGAGAAGCTATGGAAAATAAATAATAATTATTATTATTTTCTGTATTTGCTTTTAAAAAATATATTGATAAGCTTTTTAAGTGGAAATCTCGGGGCATTTTTATCAACAATAGTTAGAATATAGTAACATAATATACAAATTAATTATTCTATGTCGTATAGAAGAATTAATCGTTTTGGTAAGCCCCAAATTTAGATCTACTGCAACGTGCTTTTATGGTTCAAATTATTCAAGCAACTTAGCTATAAAAATTACTTCTGTAATTTAGTTCTTACATATTTTTCTTTTGCACAGCCTCGGATAACAGATGGCTTATGGATACGGTAATTCTTATTTCCATAACGCTAATAGAATTGATTTTTAACGTAAAACTTAATAGCAATTGCAAGTATATTTATTTTAAATAATTACACTAACTAATATTCTTGTGCCTAATTAAGTTCTGAGTGTGAAATTACCGAAGTTTTGAGAAAAAAATCATATGGCTTCAATTCCATAATGCAATTTTGTTTTACTTGAATAAAAATGAATCCAGATCTAATCAGAGCTTATGAAGTAATGTACGTGAATAGCTTGTTTTATATTGCTTAGATGGGTGGACAAGCTCATGACCCACCTGGTACTAAGTGGTTACCGGAGCCCATAAACATCGACGACTTAGACCCGTCCCCTACCTCAAGACATGAGTTCTAAGTCTACATTCAGTCAGCCAGTTTTACAGTACAACAGCTGCCCCGCCCTTAAAATTGAAATACGTTACTGCTTCACAGCAGAAAAAGGCATGGTGGTGGTACCTACCTACACGTGCAGAATCACAAGACGCTCTACGACCGATAATTACGCAAATTATAATGTTTTTGTCTGTCCTATTATTAATCGGAAAATATTTCGTTACTGGCTACTATGATCACCTAGAAGTGATATTAGTAGTCAGCTTCACTTGATGTAGTATGTCTAGTGATCTAGATGTAGTTAATTTACCCTTTTTTTAACTCAACCCTGAATTTGGCCTTAGCTTATCAAGTTACAATTGCACTTCGATCTCTTGTTTCAAGGCGTTTTTTTTCCTACCTATTCTAGTAGCCTCGACGGGTTATTCTAGATTCACACAATGACCTTGTATTTGTTAGTCACGGATTCTTCTATTGCCCTAGATACCCGGATATTTTCGGTATTGAACACTGCCGTAATCCTTGAAACATGAGATAGATAGAATAGTTAAATTATTCCACAGTTCAAAATTGAACGCACGATTTTTTAGCGGCAGATCCAATTGGAATTGTGCTTTCTATCTTTAAATCTTTCTATCTTTAATCCTCACATTGACGGCAAAAATTAACAAATTTATATTCCTAATAAACTCAGTAAATAATAGTACATTGTGCACCAAGGGAGAAAAGGGAGCCGAAGGCGAGGGTGGCAAACAAGCGGGATGAGATGTCCTACTTTTTCCCGCCGTGGGTAGGGGGGACGGAGCCCCCCATACTCATAAAAAAACAATTTAACTGTTTTTTAATTTTTAAATAAACTTACTTTTAATTAAATAAACAAAAAAATACTTTTAGATTAAAATTAAAATCTAAACGTAACTTTATACGTGCTCCCGATGTGATCTTTGAACTTCATTACCTGTCCACCGTGAAGAATTACTAACGCAATTAGCACGAGGTGTAATAAACGTAGCCGGGCATCGGGGCGAATGACCTTTCCACTAAATCGGGCAGCCCGGTCAAGTGGAACAACCGGTCCAACGGACCGTATATGGTATATTTAACACGATATCCCTGTAATGTGTTATAACCCTATTATTTGTGATTTATTATTATGAGTATAGGTAGAGTGTGTTTGGACTATGAGTCCGCGGGGACAGGTACCATCATCCTGGCGATTTCGGACACGAAGCGTACCCACGTGTTCTTTTTTGAATCTTAAATTACGTAAAAAAAAGTCTAAGCTTCATAACTATGAGCTCATCCTCCTTTCTAAGCAAATAAAATAGTAGCCTATAATAGAACAGTTAATTGAAAAAAATCATTTTTTAACTATGCCCTGTACTCTTTTGATCTGGATTTCAATTTTGTTTTATTTACGTGTTTTCTCCAAGCAGCTAAAGGAAGGTATAGAATAAACAGCACTAGGCCTACCGCTTAACTTTAGTATAATCACAATATGAAACTTAATAATTCAGTGAACTATTTTACTTATGAATTAGGAAAGAGTAATATTTTGATAGACAATAACAAGTTTGGTAGGCAATGGAGTCACCATCTTTTAACACTTCGATGATAATATTATTATAATATAAAAATCAACACTCACAGTTAATCGGTAGGCCTACAGTTGTTGAAGATTAAACTTATTTGGTTCTAGAAATTTGCTATTCATAATTTGATTTATTTCATATGATATTATTGTATTTATCTTCAGTTAACACCGATGAAAATACGCAGAAAGGAAATCTTATTTTAATCGGCTCTCCTGTTTAGGTCGTGCAACATTTGCGCTTTTCTTATGTGGGTCTAATAGCTGATGATCACAATACACTTGAGACTTTCGTCTCATGTCTGAAGGTCAGTGTTACCGGTAACCACTTTAAACAATTATAAATATAACAGTAACGATTTTACTTAGTTAGAGTCATGTATTTTGTTACAATAGCTTTTTTTTTCTTCTGCGCACGCATTCAGTATCGCCAAAGTGGGTATTGGAGCCCAAGGATGAAGCTGTTTTGGCTGGCGAGTCTCTATCTCTTCACTGTCAAACGACCGGATCTCCAACGCCACAGGTCACGTGGTTAAAGCAGAGGAGTGGTAAATGAATAATTGAATCTCGTGATTAGTTTTACAATTCATTATGTTATTATTAGTTTTATTTTTACTGATTATAAGGGTTAACGAGTTCGCAGCCCACCTAGTTTTGAGGACACCGCAGCCCATGGACATGAACAACGTAAATACCGTCACCCACCTTGAGGTATGAGTACTGAATCTCAGATCTATAGCATAACCATGGCATAACCAGAACGCTGCTTCGTGGCAGAAATGGGTGGGGTAAGGGAACCTATCCGGATGGGCTCGGAAAACGTCAAACCATCAGCAAATTAGTCATTAGTACATTAATCTAGCTTTACTTCTATGTAATAAAATGGAAACTTTAAATTAATTTATCTGTATACTCGTACTGTATTAGAAAAGTCAATATAGTTAGTAACAGATAATACACATCTATATTCTATATATATAAAAATGAATTGCTGTTCGTTAGTCTCGCTAAAACTCGACAACGGCTGGACCGATTTGGCTAATTTTGAACGTAAATTATTTGTAGAAGTTCAGAGAAGGTTGAAAAGGTATTTATATATGAAAACGCTCGGAATTAAATAAAAATAACAATTTTGTTTTTCCTTTAATGTGTCCCCCGTCGGACGGATTCCTATTATTTGTTTTAAGTTTATTTTATTATATAAAAGTTTAGGTCTATTATTTATCGATTGAGGCACTACGAAGTTTGCCGGGTCAGCTAGTAATAACTAGAATACCAATTGCAAATATCCCCAAATTTAATTTTAATTTACGTCACTTTGCTTCAAACTGTGATTGAGATTTATTATGTTTTTCAAAGCTACGGCCAAGCGAATCTTCTCCCAATTAGTTATAATTGATTAAATTAAGTGCTCTCAACCACTCGGAAGTACTTCAATTTCAACGTAACAAATAAAGTTTCACTTTTGTAAATGTACACTCTTAAACGACGCTGTTAATTAGATTTATAACTTCATTACGCTTCAAGCCGTAGCCAAGCGCAAGCCAAGCGTCAAGCACTACGAAGTCTGCCGGGTCAGCTAGTTGTTGATAAATAACTTGTCTCCCAATACAGGGACTTCGTCAGCTGATTACGCACCTCTGGTAAACCTCGGTGGCAGATTTCAATTCTATCTGAACGGCACGTTGTGGATCGAGTCAGCCCTGGCCTACGACGAGGGAAATTATATGTGCAAATCGGAAAATGGTGTGGGCACCGCACTCACTAAAATCATTTTCGTTGCTGTCAACGGTAAGATATGTTTAATTTTTATTTATTGCTTAGATGGATGGACGAGCTCACAGCTCACCTGGTGTTAAGTGGTCACTGGAGCCCATAGACATCCACAACGTTAACGCGCTACCTACCTTGAGATATAAGTTCTAAGATCTCAAGTATACTTATAGTTGCAACGGCTGCCCCACCCTTCAAACCGAAACGCATTACTGCTTCATGGCAGAAATAAGTAGGGTGGTGGTACCTACCCGCGCGTACTCACAAGAGGTCCTACCACTAAAAAATTAAAATAAAACACCAGTAATTACAATAACTGCGATTTTTAAATGCGCTTGACGTATCAATGCAAATATCTTTGTGAAAGCCCTTAAATTGAGTAGGCAAATACTGTAAAGACAATAATATTAGTATTGTTATAATTATTTATTAATATTAGTAGAGTTTATATTCGTGTTATCACTTAAAATGAAGTCTGGCAGAAAGGCTTATCTCTCCAGGTAGGTCCCGAGCTATCTGTCCATTTAAGAAAGTTTGAATTAAAAAAAAAGGCCTTTGACAACCCTATTCTATTCTACAGATGTTACGACGATTTCGTTTTTTTTTTTTGACTGTGTAAGGTTGTCATTTCGAACATAATATTACTTTTTTATAAATATTAATAGCTTCAAAAGATAGTAGCTAGTATGTTAAGTTACACAAACCTTCTAAGTTTCTCTGATGTTTCCAGAGCCAGCCAGGTTTGAAGTGACGTCACACAATATGACGGCGCGTCGTGACGCGCCCGTGACGTTGTCTTGTGACGTCCGCGGTGACAGTCCTATACGCGTCACGTGGGCTCACAACACGAATCACTTAGATCTTAACACTTATAGGTAATATACCAAATGAATCGATAGTGTTTTTTTTTGGAGTGAACGTGATAGTCACATCTAAAATTTTAAATAAATTATGTGCCTTTCAAAACAGGAATGCTTGGCGCCGGAAAAGGGTATGATGATTGTACCTAGTTACCCTAAATGACTTATATTACTACTAAAATATTTCGACGGTAATAATGATCTCTTAGGAAAACTTCGATTTATATTAGTATTTCTAGTGTTCGTCAATTGGCCGAAATTCAAATTTAATCTGCAATTACATAACCTTTATGATTTAAATTTATTTATTATATGTTACAATTTCACTTGACGGGAGAAAACAATTAACATTTTTTATTAAAAAGTTAAACACTAGCTTGTCAGTTGCTATTATCCAAAAATAAAAAAGTAAATCGGTAAAAAAAAACAGAGGATAAAACTGAAGTCTGAATTAATAATTTAGATAGATTTTAATAATATAATTAAGAATATAAACAGAGGGTACTGAACTAATGAAATAGTGAATTAAATAAATAATAAAACGAATTTGTCTATTTATAATTCGAGTTCATCATAAAAACCAAAAATCATGATTAGATAAATTATAGATGAACTTTTGTTATTTTAACTGTAAAACCTTTCACAAACACACTTTTTGGCTATGGTCCTCAAACTTGAATACCTCACTGTATACTATCAACTTAATTTACATGATCTTCACTAAACGTAATCTGTTTCCATTTTAGGCTAAGTATCTCCGAAGCAAAGACTGATAGTGGTTTAAGGTCGCAACTGTACATCAGCAGAACAGACAGACAGGACTCGGGAATCTACAAGTGCCAGGCCGTCAACGCGTATGGTCATAGTGACCATTACATTTATTTATCCGTCCAAGGTAACGAAGTAATTGGTACTCCCTCAGATTCATTCAAAAAAGAGAATTCCTCCTCCTTTTTCTTTTGGGGGGCTCACGAACGGCTCGCTTTGTATAAAGTGGCTACCTTCACAAGGTCAACGCTGTCACCAACCAACCTTATCATACGAGGCTAAATTACGCTAAATTAGCTAAATTTATTTAAGTACAAGTATTTGTATCCATAAATATTTTGTATGTCATATATACACATATGTTTAAGTAATATCACTATCACACTATACCTACCAAGGTTCATCTCTGCACTCCCCTAAGGTAGACTGTCAGAGAATGCCAATGGCATTAAGTCCGCCTTTATACTGTCTAGTACATAAAGTTATAAATAAATAAATACAGTCTGTGTTGTCATTTGTAATTCATGCAGACTGGAACTCGTTACTGTGTCGCATCGAATAGTACCTTATTTAAATTCTATTGTTGTTAGCTCACGAATTAGGGACCTGTATCATCATGACGTGATATCCATCTTGTAGTTTAACAGATGTTGTTTTAGTTTAAGAATTGACAGCGTCTCAAGCGAGACACTCCTTAAGAATTAAGATTTGTGGTAGGTATAAATAGGACTTATGGGAAACATACTATTTTGGTAGTTTTAATAATTGCGTTTTTTTTATTGCTTAGATGGATGGACGAGCTCACAGCCCACCTGGTGTTAAGTGGTTACTGGAGCCCATAGACGTCTACAACGTAAATGCGCAACCTACCTCGAGATATAAGTTCTAAGGTCTCAGTATAGTTACAATGGCTGCCCCACCCTTCGAACCGAAACGCATTAACGCGTTAACAGTGCATGATCATAACCCTATGATGAATTACAATTTACAGAAAAACCTGACACGCCCCATTCACTGTCCGTGATCGAGATCCTGAGTCGGGCCGTTCGTTTGTCCTGGAGTCAGGGCTTCGATGGCAACAGCCCGCTCATGGGATACACGCTGCAGTACGCCGTGCTATCCACACAAGGCGCTATACGGGTCAACCAATGGGATTCTGCGCATAGCGTTAACGTTTCCGTCCATGGAGCTTCCCCGTCTCATGTTACGTAAGTACGATGGATGGCGGATATATAGAAGTAAGCAACTGGCAGCCTTCGCCTCCCAGTAATATAGTCTGTGGTAAATACGAAAAGCCCGCCAAAATACTATTAAACAAACCAAAATGTTTCGTACCCCTATGCAAATTCATTAAAAACAGAGTGATTTCAATAAAAATATAATGTGAAATGAAGTGGTGAAGAAATACAAATACTGATTTAGCTTAAATTACTTTGTTTCCAAGCCAGTAAAATTTATTTTTAAAAAAAAGCCTGCCGAAATCCAAATATGTAAAATTTGTACCTGGATATTTTCTTCGGTACCTACCTCAATGGTGTAGATGATAACTGTCTAAAACCGTATAGACCAAGAGCTAGTTAGCATAATTCGGAGAACTATCTAAGTAAGCATTGCTTAAAGGTCCATGAACCATTGAAATCCTTGTGCAATTGTGCAATATCCGGCTTTGGAATGAGCTCCCCTCCACAGTATTTCTCAAACGCTATGACATATCCTTCCTCAAACGAGGCTTCCTCAAACGAGGCTTGTAAACGGTAGGCAGCGTCTTGGCTCTGCCCCTGGTATTGCTGACGTCCATGGGCGATAGCAGTCACTCACCATCAGGTGGGCCGTACGATCGTCTGCCTACAAGGGCAATAAAAAATAAAAATAAATCTTTACAGATTTCGTTGTCACAGACTATTAAGTTCTTGCACGTCGAGATTTGAATTTTCAGCTTACTACCCTCTATTTTTGGTATAGTATTTGAAACGTTGGAAACAGTGTTAATAAAATAATACAACAATGATAGTATTAAACGCGATATAAAACCACAAAAACAGCTAACGATTTACGGAATGCGATAATCGAATAAAAAGTACTTAAATCAGAATTAAATTCGTTACCACCACAATGGCCAATTGTTCAGTTATAAAAATTCAACCACACAGAACCACAATATATTGTTACGCGCTGGGGTTCGGGATAAATAAAAAAAACTACCGAAGTACAAGTTACAACTGTATTAGCACTCAGAACACTTAAAATCGTTTAAGTTTCCACGGTGAAGGAATAACATCGTGTACCTAATAAAAATGAAACCCGCAAAATTATAATTTGCGTAATTACTGTTGATAGGACCTCTTGTGAGTCCGCGCGGGTGGCTACCACCGCCCCGCCTATTTCTGCCGTGAAGCAATAATGCGTTTCGATTTGAAGGGTGGGGCAGCCGTTGTAACTATACTTGAGACCTTAGAACTTATATCTCATAGGTGGGTGGCGCATTTACGTTGTGAATATCTATGGGCTCCAGTAACCACTTAACACCAGGTGGGCTGTGAGTTCGTCCACCAATATAAGCAAAAAAAAAACAAACACTTTAAAATTCTCAATTCATTTCATTTACATTAATAACAATATGTCCATATGTACATACGTGGTGTCAGAGTTAGCTTTCCTTATAGATTGACGAAGAAAGGCGACATTCACTACGAAGCTCTACTCGGCAGCTTGAAGCCTCACACGGCGTACATGATTCGGATAGCAGCCATCAATCAAATAGACAGAAGCACTTTCACTGAACCAGTTGTCGTGAAAACACAAGAAGAAGGTCAGGATTTTATACGATGAATCTCAATCTGATGATTGTTAATGTAAATAGTAGGAAAACTTAATTACTAAATCCCTAAAATATTCAATTTCTAATAAAAAATCAATTATTAGTACTTCTCGTCACAAAAAATATACTCCCACTCTTTGATGTTAAAATATATGTATTTCTGATTTATTGCATTGATGGATGATGGAGTTTACAGCAGCAAGTGATTACCCGAGCCCATAGGCAGCACATATTAAATTCCTTTGCTCGTCTTAACACATGAGGCTGTATTCTCAATCCGGTTGCATTTATATGGAATATACAGTGCTATATAGTATAAGTATTTTACCTTTACTAATGTGAGTAGTGAAAGATTTGTCTTGTGAATAGTCCCCGACTATCTTAAGGTTCACGTTAGAGCCCCTTATCGATTCGAGAATAGTATTTTAATTTTTTACAGGAAACATTCCTAACTTGGGGCTCCATGTAATGTGTTTTAAGATCTTAATTGAAAAATTCTGATTTTCTTCTTCACGCATCTGCGACTGACGAGTTATTTTTACTGGTGGTAGGACCTCTTGTGAGTCCGCACGGGTAGGTACCACCACCTTGCCTATTTCTTCCGTGAAGCAGTAATGCGTTTCGGATTGAAGTATGCAGCAGCCGTTGTAACTATACTGAGACCTTAGAACTCATGTTTCAAGGTGAGTGGCGGCATTTACTTTGTAGATGTCTCTATAGACATACTCTATAGTCTCCGGTAACTATTTAATACCAGGTGGGTCGTGACCTCGTACACCCATTTAAGCAATAAAAAAAATAAAATGGACAACAGAAACCACGTGCTACGTATAGGCTCCTGTAACTGCTTTTAGTGTCGTTTGGTACTTTAACTATCCTAACTATAGCTCCATCAGAGCCGCCTACGAATGTCCACGTGACTCCTGGAGGTCCTGGCGAGCTGCACGTGTCCTGGCGGCCCCCTCCCCGCGAGGCGTGGCATGGAGAACTTCTCGGATACTCGGTAACGTGCACCGAAGTGAACCCGGCTGGTCCATCAATGAGGAATGCTTCAAGGTGTGTTCTTATTCAAACTATCTATCGTATACGATCTCTACAAAATTGTTTATTTGCCAAGCCTATAACGAAATAATGAAAACCAATTCAAAAATGAAATGCTAAAGGTTATCTATTCTGGTATATGTATATCTTATAAATTAATTTATTGGTGAAGCAAAAAGAAAACAAAAAACTGTTAAAGCAAGTCAATACTAGTTGTAAAAAATATCTAACCTCTTTGATACTATTCAAAAGAACATGTAAGAGACTGAGTGTACCTCGAAGTCCCACGGTCTGGTACACCTGCGGAGTACCTAAATTACAATTTAGGTACTCCGCAGGATATGTTTGTTTAGCATGTCATCACACCTTTTCTGCTTAAAATACAAGGAAAAAAATTCTCGTTCTCAACAATTGATCGTTCTTTTAAGCTATTGCATAGCTTTTATCGCAGGCTTTGAGCAGGGCGACCGAATCAAGAAATTCCGTAACGAAAATAAAACCGAACACCCCCGTGTTAGGTTTTATTTTCGTGACGAAATTTCTACCATGTAGCTCGCGTTAAACACATTTACACGTTGCCCTTGTTTAGTGTTTGTGAATAAGTACCCGTCGTACGTCGCACTGCATGTGCATCATGAAAAGTCTGCCCATCTCTCTCTCGCGCCGTCTAAGTTATGAGTGTGAAAGGGACAGTTAATATTTTGCTTTTGTTAATGTTTATAAATATAGCGTGGTCTTATTTTATTATTGTTTTAATATTAAATTATTATTGTCTAATTATAATTGCATAAGTTGATAAAAAATGCTATGCAATAGCTTTACAGCGGCAGTCTCCGAGTGCCACACTTTTTTTTTATTTTTATAACCGACTTCGTCACCATGGCAACACCACGAATACTTTAATTTTTTTGTAAGAGCTCCGATTGTGCCACTTGACAGACTTGAAGACGTCTGCATCTGGCGCGAATTTTTAAAATGTGCCAATAAAGAGATTGTCGGGACGATACAGTAATACTTCGAATAGTATTAATGCGCATTTTTGTGTAATGTTATTGACAGAACCTTAACAGTTAATGGTTGGTCGGCCACTGAACTGAGTTTGTCTGCACTGCGAAAGTTCACGCGGTACGAAGTCCGGGTACGAGCTTTCAATGGAGTGGCAGCGGGACCAGCTTCTGCTCCTGTATCAGCTACTACTCTTGAGGGGGGTGAGAGATTATAGTTACCTAAAAAAATGCCCCGATTAACCCGTGTAATCATGCGTATCTCTATTTTTTTTAAACAGGCCTTAGTGAAATAAAATTGATACTGGAATCAAGTATCATAGTGGATGTCGATCTCAAATGCATATCTGCGACAATCGACACTACTAAGGGAAATTTTATTTTCGTCTGCTTAGATTATTTTAGTTGAAATATTTGTCGACTATAAATGGCACTTCTAGAATTTTTAATTCAATTTTATTTCATTTTATATATTTTAAATAGCAGTAGTTATCACACATTCATCGTAATAATTACAAAAATAAATAAGTCTATAATAATTTCGATTTAGTTCATAAAAAATCCATCTATTGGTTCTAAGTAAATATATCATTTGGAGATTTCTAATATTTTAACTAAAACCAGATATGAGCTTTTTGTTATTGATGAATAATAGCACGCCGAAGATGTTACGATTAATTTAATAATTAATTAATAATTAATCGTAACATCCTTGATCAGTTCCAGAATCCCATCCCACAAGAGTTTCCTGTGCGGCTTTATCGTCATCCAGCATGAAGGTGTCTTGGAATCCTCCTCCGATCGGACAGCATGGAGGTCTCATCCAGGGCTATAAGGTTATCTATGCACCGCTTTCAACGGACCATGGTAAGCTAGTAAGAAGACAAGTAAATTAAATCATTGATTTACACATTTCAATTTAAAAAAACTCCACGATATATACTAATATTTTTTATATCGTAATAATATACGGTAATAATTGACATAGCTAATAATACAATAGTAATTTTCTGAATATATTAATTTATATGTGAACATACAACGCCTCGTGAAAGCAAATTTGAACAAACTAAATATGTACTTAAGTTACTATTGATGATTTTAAGCCTAAGTAATTTTATTGCAGTGTTTTTTTTTTATTTTCCAATGTAGGCAAGCATATGGCCTACCTGATGGTGAATGGTTACTGTCGCTCATAGACGTCAGGATTTCCAGGGCCAGAGCCAAGCCGCTGCCTACCGTTAAGTACACTCTACAAGCCTAGTTTGAAGAAGGACATGTCATAGCGCTCGAGAAACACCGTGGAGGGGAGCTCTTTCCAAAGCCGGATGGTAGGTGGCAAAAAAGATCTCTGGAAACGCACTGTGGGTGAACGCAGTGGCTCTAGGTAGTATGGATGAACTCTACTCCGGGGGCGATCGGTGCGATGGTAAAAACAATATTATAGGCTCATCTCAAACAATTCCTTAGAACACTGCCAGAGTAATAAGGCTTTCAAGAAAACTCTCGACTAAACACATAGCATCATTTTAAATTCTTAACAATTATAATAGTGACCTCTTTATAAATTTGTGAATGAAACCGAAATCCTTATTCATTATTATAGAAGATGTCGGTGAAATTAAGCGTGTGACCACGACTGACACCTATCTGCACACTCTAAGGAAATACACTAACTACTCTGTACAAGTTTTGGCTTTCACGAATGCCGGTGACGGAAAACGGAGTCCTCCTATTCACTGTATGACTGAGGAAGATGGTAGGTGATTTAGATTCATCCAGAAACTATGTAGTTGTAGAATTATTTATTGGATAAAATAGTAGACCTTAATTACATTGCTGCAACAAAACTATGATTTGTATTTTTTTTTATTGCTTAGATGGGTGGACGAGCTCACAGCCCACCTGGTATTAGTGGTTACTGGAGCCCATAGACATCTACAACGTAAATGCGCCACCCACCTTGAGATATAAGTTCTAAGGTCTCAGTATAGTTACAACGGCTACCCCACCCTTCAAACCGAAACGCATTACTGCTTCACCTACGCGTACCTACCCGTGCGCTCACAAGAGGTCCTACCACCAATAATTACGCAAATTATAATTTTGCGGGTTCGATTTTTATTACACGATGTTATTCCTTCACCGTGGAAGTCAATCGTGAACGAATGCACCGGACGTCTTATCCTTTAGGCCACGACGACTTCAATTTGGGTTTAATCAGCTATATCCGTAGATTACTTAATATAAGATTGAAGCTCATCAAGTCTTAATATGTTTCTCTGACAGATCAAAAATTATGTTATTTAATTTCAGTACCATCAGCACCTGAAAACATCAAAGCTCTCGCGTATTCCATTGACTCGGTTCTAGTGAGCTGGCTACCTCCAGTTCATCCAAACGGCGTTATTTCACATTACACAGTTTACTACCGAGAAGCCGGACGGTACGTTGTTTAACAGTATTTTTAATTGGTTTAGTTCAGTGATTCCCAAAATGGTCTATATCGACCCCTAGGGGTCTATGACAACCTGCAAGGGGTCTACGTCAGCGAAAATAAATTTGGGGGTCCACGATAGTGGATCTCAACACATTCACTGATAGTACTTATTTACTTACATCATACTATCTTATAATATCAAGACATCATTAGCCGAGGAGATCTAAGATTAACCCTAACAAAATTGACGCCAAATGTTGATAATTTATTATTGAAGCATCAGGTTCATCCTTCTCACTAAAAATATTGACTTATTGCTTATGTTATTTTATTTATAGTTTATTTTATGTTACGTATATTTTACATAACAGATACAAAATTTTATTTTCAGTAGTTTTAATTTAAATTCAATTAATAAATGTATAAATTAACATGTGTTTTTACTTTAAGTTTTTAACGCTAAACTTTACTACAGTTAGAAATTTACAGGAAATCAATATCAGGTAAGTAGGGGGTCTACCCAACACGGAAAAACATGGCAAGGGGTCTACGACACAAATAAGTTTGGGGAACTCTGGTTTAGTTGAACCGGAAAGACCTTCACTAATATAATTTTAACAGAGCGGTCCCTGCTCGGTCTACCGAACAATATCACCCGCTCGGCGGAAAATCTTCCCGCCGTCATTAAGCCTCCCAAAGCTGTAGCTATACTGAGACCTTAGAACTCATATTTTAGTGGGGCGTGGCATTTTCGTTGTAGATGGCTATGGGTTTCAGTAACTACTTAACACCAGGTGGGCTGTGTGTTAGTACACACACCTAAGCAATAAATAAATAAAAAACAACCTATGGTACCTGTTGGTGAACTGGTAATAGATAAGGCAGGGAAGTTAGTAAATATCCCAGTCAAAAACGTGGCGGGCTTTATTAATTAATATATAATGGACAACAGTGAACATTTTAGCAGAATTCAATTAATAATGAATGCTGTTATATCTTTTCTGACCATTGGCAGGTCGAATTTTCAGGGTTTTAATGAAGTTTTTTTGCTTGTGTCGTTGTCCAGATTGAAGAAATTTACTAACTTTAGAAAGTAATTACAATATATATTTTTGTATTTTATTGATTTACATAGTTACAAGTGAAGCTAAAAATGAAATAATTAAGACTATTATTTATTTATTAATTCCATGGATTGATGCACTAGATCATGATCTACCAACCACTGAACCAAACCATGGTTTAACTGGTGTTGTTGTCGAAGCCCACACATATCACTGCGTATATAAATACCGCCACCTACCTTGAGGATCGAAGTCTATGCCTTAACTGTAATTAGGCAAATTGCTTTTTTTTGCATTTCTGATTTTTAAGATGGTAGGTATTCCTTAATCGTCGAAGTAATTCGTAAACTTTGTAAAAAAAGTATTTCATTCATAAAATTTATACCCGCTTGAGTGATTTGAACACCCGTACAGTCGCATTCCTCGATATGAGTACACCGAGCGTCTTATCCTTTAGACCACGACGACTTCTTCATAACTGATCAGGTTTTTTTTAAGGGATTGTATGACCTGGTAACTAAGACCTTTAAGTCATGTCTTATTTTAATTAAGATTCTTATTTTTATGAAAAATGATAATATGGAGTAAAATGAAACGAAATGAAGATGATTAATTTCAGACATTACACAACTGGGATGAAATTAAATGAAATGAAATGATATGGGATGAAAAATAATCTCAGTAAAATGGTGGTCATTTACTGAGACTTTTTCAATGGACTTTTTGGAGGATCCCGAGAAGTTACGTCGAGCGGCTTTGTTTCATTTTCCCACATTTGTGCACTTTTACAGATATTTAACAGTTAAAAAACCACCGTTATTACATATTTAAGTCTGAAAAAACACTAAATAGACAAAATAAAGCAAATCACACAACTTGACACCTCGCGTTCCCGCCAAAAAGTCTCAGCTGATCAGGTTTCTTCTCAATTCCACAGATTAGGCAAGCACTCCAGCTTCACTGTGTCAGCTGATAAGCAAACGGATGCGGAACTAATGTTCCAAGTGCGAAATTTAGCTGAAAATCAGCTTTACGAATTCTGGGTGTCCGCCACCACTGGTTCCGGAGAAGGGGAATCCACGCTTGTAGTCGGCCAGGGACCTAGCTCTAGAAGTAAGTTAATTCCGCTGTCGGCCCGAAGTCTCAATTCTATTGCATAATGACTGTCCTAGCCGTGAAAACATAACGAATTATGGCTTTGAAGTAAAAATTGGCAGGACGGTAGTCTCAATAGTTGGGAAATTTAATATTTTCACTATACATTTTGGTTTGGTTTTATAGCTACGGGCAATAACGGAATCCTGGCGTAATCGAATCACTCGATTTGACTACATCGGACGTCTTACCTTTTGGGTTACGATGACTGTCTCTGTGTTACACAATTGATATATGGGTTCTTCAAAATAAACTAGTGTGGTATTGTCTCGTTTCCAGTTCCAGCGCGCATCGCTTCGTTCGGGCGTTGGGTATCTGTGGGAGTTGGTCAGTCGCTGCTGCTTTTGTGCACGTGCGTGGGCTCGCCGACGCCGCGCTCGCGGTGGACACATGCGCGCTCGCCCGTCACACACCACGCCTTCTACCAGGTCACGCACCGAGGACATCTGCATATACGAGGTGCTTAGATACTATGCAGTAGTAGGCTTGGTTGAAAACTTGTACCTAAACACGAATGATTTGTTCCTTGTAAAATAAATTTTATACAACGCAAACTCTTTCATATATCGCTTTTCGGCCCTACGCACACACATAAGTCTGACGAGTATCCCCTAAATGAAAATAAAACAGGAATACCAACATAGCCATAGTACCGAGTGAACTCTAAGCTGTCTAAACTGTGTTGCCATCTAGATAACTACGTCCAAAAAGAGTTTTTAAATGTGCCAATAGTGTTCATATCTCACTAGATTACTGTGTTCAAATTTAAACGAATAATTTGGCCCGAGAATATCCACACCCTTCACTTCCAATGGCTATTGTAAAAAACGACTGAAATATTCGAGATATTACTCCGTTAACAACTTAAAAACTATCTATAATCGGAATTCAAAAAAATTCATACATAAACTCTCATTCCACAGAAGTAAACGAGCAGTCCTCAGGAAACTTCACATGTACAGCGAGCAACACGATCGGAGAGGACTCCATAGTGTATGTAGTGGCAGCCATCCTTCCTCCAGCCGCGCCATCCCTGAAGCTCCAGTACACCACGACGTCCAGTATAAAGCTGCACTGGCAACTACCGAGCGAGAATACCGAACCGATATTGGGTAAGTACTGTGCTGAGCTGTTTCGGTATATTTTTTTTCTTACCTAAGTTGATAGCCTTGAGAGGCCATTTCAACGTAAGTATAACAAGTAGGTGAGCTCACGGGGGTCAAACCCGACGACGTTGTTAGCACTAGTCCTAGCAAGAGCAGTGCTTCGCAGAATCTACCACCGGATCGTGATCGGAAACGTGACCCACTGAGAATATCTGGCGAAAAACTCAGTGTGTTTGTGGGTTAATTTACTCGCCGAGCGCTTCGTCGCAAGCGACGGGTTCGACGGGAAGCTTTTTCGGTATCTATTGTTTCATTTAACTGTAGGTCTATTCTAACAGTAAGCAGCGGCATGGCTCTGCCCTTGACGTGGCTGACATCTATGACCAACGGTAACTAATCACCAAGTGGGCTTCATGATCGTCTGCTTACAAGGACAATAAAAAAGTGTTATTGTAGTCATGCCGTCCCTTTCACACATCAATAATTAATTAATTTGTAAACCGCCATTTGCCTCCTTTTTGTTATTTGATAGTTGCTCCCATTACCAGATTTAAGAAGTTTTAATTTTATCATTTCCTAATGACTTTTCAACTTAAATTTATAGCAGCTATTATACTACACAGGGTCAATGTCACCATCCTATTTACTTTAATCTCCGTTTTCGAAGGGTTGAATTACAATACCCTAGACACTTCCATCTCAAATATCGGGAAAAGCGGTGACATTCACTCTGTGATCTCTATAGGATCTAGTGTTAAAGCAATAAATAAAATATCCATAACGAAACTAAGTCAGCTCTCCTATTCTCAGGGTATCTATTACACTACAAACAAGCATCTGAAGCCGAATGGCATACTGTGGAACTATCGCCCGAAGCTACGTCGTACACTTTGGACATGCTGAAATGTGGCACGACGTACAACGCGAAGACACAGGCCAGAAATAAGATATCTATAGGACCACCCAGTGAGATCCTCACGGCCACTACCAGAGGAGGACGTAAGTGGTCACTAAAAATAATATTGTTTAATTAATTAATCAAACGGCCGTCTGGTGTAGTGGTAAGTGACATGGTCACTATACAACGGATTCGCGGGTTCGAATCCCGCCAAGGGAAGATATTTGTATGATAAATATAAAATGTATTTTCCAGGGTTATGGATGTATATTAAATATAATTATAACATGTATGTGTATAATAAAAATCTTACTTTTATTTGCGTTATCTGGTACCTGTAACACAAGTTCTTTACGAACTTAGCACGGAATCAGTTAACGTGGCGTGATTGTTAGTAAATATTTATTTATTTATATTTATTTAATTTGTATGGGGAAAAGACGCGTGAGAATTTTTATATAATTTTGAGAAATCATTTTAATATAGACCCACATAAATATGAATAGAAATAAACTGTAATACAATCTAAAATCTAGTATTCGTCATGTGGAAACAGCATAACGAAAAATAATTCTATGAGAAGTTCTATATTTTGTCACGCGCTAGTTTAAAAATCTTCTAGATTTTTAAGTCGATTCCTTTGTTTCACTTTTTCCCTAGGTCCAAAGCCTCCAAAGCCTGAAGACCACGTGCATATGAATTCCACAGCGATCAAAATAAACTTCTACGCTTGGCGTGACGGCGGCTGCCCAATTCTCGGCTTCAGAGTCTCTTACCGGAAAGCTGGAACAGAACATTGGATAAAGGTCGTTATGCTTAAGTGCACAAAGTAGAATATAGCTTATATAAGTTTATTTTAAGAACAGTACTGTCGTGTTGATAAAACATTTGACAATTCCATCCCTTTTATATCAACCAAAAATATCACGCATATTTGAAGTACCTACATGTCTGCAATTTGGATTTCAATCTCGGTATTCTCCTCATATTATATGCAGATTCTAAAATTGGTATTTACTGCAATTCTATATTTATGTTTCATAGGTATTTTAAGTACCTATGTTTTAATATGTAAATTGTTTATTCTTATTTATGTGTAAAGAAGCAAAATTATTATAACTTTACATTGTGTATTTGTAGATTTATATATGTATGTGTGTGTATGTATTTATTTCAATTGATTGGTATACCGCGTGTAATTCGTTTCCAAACAATTATTTTCCACCCGATTGATGTCTAGAAGAGATCGCTCTTAGCGATAAGACCACTAATTGTATTGTTTTTTTGTATTTAATATTTCGCATTGCTTCTTTTGTTGATGTACAATAAGGAATGTTATCTCTTTCGCTCTCTCGTTCTCGCTCTCTCTTTCTTTATGCAAAAATAAAGTTAATCTGTTTTTGAAATGCTGTACCGTTCGCATCTTCAGGTCGGGGACGGGTTGAGTTCAGCCGGCCACGTGATCGGCTCTCTGACGCCCGGAACATGGTATGAGGTTTGCGTGGAAGCCTACAGCGACGCTGGTCCCGAGCGTGTGACCTTACACGTCGATACACACACCTTGGCCGGAGGTCAGAATTAGCTTTTACCTTCTTTTTTTTATTGCGTAGATGGGTGGACGAGCTCACAGCCTACCTGGTGTTAAGTGGTTACTGGAACCCATAGACATCTACAACGTAAATGCGCCACCCAGCTTGAGATATAAGTTCTAAGGTCTCAGTATAGTTACAACGGCTGCCCCGCCCTTCAAACCGAAACGTATTACTGCTTCACGACAGAAATAGGCAGGGCGGTGGTACCTACCCGCGCGGACTCACAAGAGATCCTACCTATTGTTTATCCGCGCATTTTGTACTGTCGTTATTGTTTCTGATGCTTCAAAATTAAATACTAATACCGGTTTCGTGGTCACTTGAATACTGTGCTATCATCTATTCTTCTATAAAATATTATCATTTAAAAATTAAAATGTTTTGATATTGCGAAGTAATGACTATTACATTTAATGCCTTCGACTCGCAAAATACGAAAAAAATGCGATAATATGCTAAGCAATTAGCGCCAGCTAATCCCTAACGAACAATAAGGTTAGTTTCAATGAAGACAGACCCGCTATTTATAATGGGAAAACTAAAAAACGATCTTAATTAAGATCGGCTATTGACACAATTCTAATAGGTTCCTTTAACCTTTTAAGAAAAATATCAAAACGTACTCGATTTAACAAGAATATTGGAGTGTTGTAACAACAAATAGCTGCTCCAAAAAGCGACTCTACATCGTTAGTCGTGCGATAGTTGAGTACAAAATATTTTCAGGTCGCATTCCACCACTTAAGCCTTCATCACCGCTGTCGGGTAGCTCGCGGCAAAGCTCGCTACGAACCGTGCTGGTGTCTTGTGTGGCCAGCGGAGTCGTCATTGTCGTGACGTTGGCAGCGATCATCTGTCTAATACATGGAAAAAAGAAGTAAGTTACAACCGTACCTTCTTCAACTCGGGATCTAAGAAGGGAGACGGCCGAGTTGATCAACCAGTTATGTCATCCTTTCTGAGGTTGTTACTCATTTAGAAATACATTGTAGAACAATATTCAAGATTTTTGTTTTTTTTATAGCTTCGATGGCTTATCCATGGCTCCTTGTGGTTAAGTGCTTATTGGAGCCTATAGACTTCAACAACAGAAATATCGACACCCACTTTGAGTTCTTAGTCACAAACCCTTCAAACCACAACGCCTTACCGCTTCACGGCAAAAATTAGCGGGGTTCACAAGACGTCTAACCACTAGTAAAGCCTCTCTATACTCTTTCTATTTCTACCGCAAATTAGGTCCTACGTCCGGAAACTTAGGATAATCGTTGTACATTATTAATGAGATTTTGACCCTGACCTCAATGAAGATCGCGGCATTCACGATATCTCTAAACCACTAGATCGGTTACACAAAGCCGTAGATCAAGCAGTGGATGAACATACAAAATATCTTAATAACCAAGATTCCCCAATGCAACTTCGACAATGTTTCCTCTCATTAATTTACCCTTAAAGGTTAACACTATCACTGTAACGTTTCAGATTCTTCTGCCTTTCAAGTGACCACTACATGAGAGATGATAGAAAACTGAGCGAGAGTAACGAAGCGGAAAGAGAGAAGCTAAGAGAAGGACAGAAACTATACTCGTCGTCTTCTATCAATGGAAACGAAAAGTCAAACGATGACTCTTCAGGTTTGTGGTCATAGACTAAGCAGATACTTTGGTCACTTAATTTTGTTGTTTTTTCTCAACCATACGATAGGTATAAGCCTTGTATGCATATCACGAAGCAGAGCAAAGTTTTGTCGTTTTTTTTTTAATATTTCTCTAGATCTTCGTTTACAGTCGTTGCTACATCCCATAAGTATCGCAAATGTCGCTACCCACCTCGAGACGTTACGTTGAAGTGTCATTTGTGATCTACCACGAGTTCCCCACTCTTCAAACTGGTATGGAAGACTGCTTTGTGACACAATATGCAAGGAACTTTTTTGTACGAGCTTATATTACTCTTCACAACCAGTAACGAATTTGATCTATTGCCTCTCAATCATTATCATCATCAGCTCACAGACGTCCACTAATGAACATAGGCCTCCTCCAAGGATCGCAGCCTGAAACTTTAGCGAGATCGTCGCTCCATCTCGTGGAAGGCTTACCCACCCTCTTATCTATTACCGTTTTAGTACAATTAAATCTCAGGTAATGATACCCGGAGATAATTTTGTTGAGACCCCTTTTATTGGATCCAGTAAATACTTGTTACTAGCATCATTCCAACTGCCTCAGCCGAATTGTACCAGATAAGTGTCATGATATCTGGAAATAATTTTGTGGAGACCCCTATTATTTGGATCTAGTAAATAGTTGTTACTAGCATCATTCGAACTGCCTCAGCCGAATTGTACCAGATAAGTGTCATGATATCCAGAAATAATTTTGTGGAGACCCCTATTATCTGGATCCCGTAAATAGTTTTTACTAGCATCATTCCAACTTGTCTCAGCCGAACTGTACGAGATAAGCCCGTACGCGACTTTCGGCGTGTCGGCTGCGCACTCGCTCCAGTTCCGCACGCTGGCGCGCCGAGAGGACGACGCGGCGCCCCCGCACCGCCGCCGCCACCGGGCCTGCGACCACTATCGATACGGTTTGTATGTCACACTCGTAGGATCACTGGTATTCCACCCAATTCACCATTTATTTACAACTAGCTGACCCGGTAGACTTCGTAGTGCCTCAATCGATAAATAAAAGACCTAAACTTTTGTATAAAATAAACTTAAAACTAACAAAAGAAATCCGTCCGACGGGGGACAGATCAAAGGAAAAACAAAATTGTTATTTTTATTTGTTTCCGAGCATCTTCATATTTATCTACCTTTTTAAACTTCAGTGGACCTCCACAAATAATTCAAGATTAAAATTAGCCAAATCGGTCCAGCCGTTCTCGACTTTTAGCGAGACTAACGAATAACAATTCATTTTTATATATATAGATGTTTTCACATAGATTTGTTATCCTTGTTCCATTTTCAAATATAGGCTCAACGTTTCGTGGTAGTTTGACAGTCAACCAATATTGGCTTTATCAAGAACACAGCTGCGTTACTGGCATATTTTTAAATTAGAATATGCCTCACAATTCCACCTTCGTTCTTCAGAGAACCACATTAATTAGTAGTTCAGCAGACACAAGCAAAATAGTGGTAGCATAAAATCAAGGGCGGATCCAGCTTTGGCGCCAGGAGGGGGTCACATAGTCGTGGGCAAGTTAAGAACTTATAATTTAATTTTGATAAATAAATCATGATGTTCTTCAATTAGTCCAAGTTAGTTCAAGTCCTGGAACTAGCTCAGGGGGGGGGGGTCATGACCCCCATTACCCCCCCCCCCCCTGGATCCGCCGTTGCATAAAATGACGACATATTTGATCATTCGTGCTTACAGAATTAAGTGAAGACTAAAGACCGTTTGGTAGGCTTGAATAGGCCTAAACTCGCCCAACAGATTCCAAGAATCTTCTCACGACTTCTGCGGTTCTCTGGTTTACCATATAGTATTTGTCTTGGCATTCTGGTCTCCTCCATTAGAACTACATGTCCTACTCATCGTAGGCGTCCAATTTTTATAGTTTTTTATGATATCAGGATCTTTGTAAACATCATACAACTCGTGGTCCTCCATATATCGTTTTCCTGCACAGCACAGAATATCCGTCTTAGGATGTTACGCTCGAACACAAGTAGATGGTTCTCATCCTTTTTGCTGAGTACCCATGTTTCTGAGCCATAAATAAAAATGGGTCTCAGTAGGGTTTAAAAAAAGTAAGATTTTCTGGCTTGATAAAATAGTAATTATGGTGGAGCATCCAGTTCCTATGTCAACCCTTACCGGCAGATGAATCGAGTCTCTCTAAATGCTCGACAGTGGAGGCGCGACACCGCATGCGCGCGGCGCCCGCCGCCCCCTGGAGGGACGCGCACACCGACTCAGACGACAACAGCGATAGTGCCGCCAACACCACTACTAAGGGTAACTGTGTTTTTTTTTTTTTTTTTTTTTATTGCCCTTGTAGGCAGACGAGCATACGGCCCACCTGATGGTGAGTGGTTACCGTCGCCCATGGACTTCAGCAATGCCAGGGGCAGAGCCAAGCCGCTGCCTACCTTATCTTACCTTAGTTGTACCAACTTATCTACATATTATACTGACTGATAACAAAAACATACCCGATCCTGTAGACCGAATGGTAAACAGTCGACGTCGCCCAAAACACGTCATTAAGGATCCTCCCGATTCATTAACGGTGCTTCCTCCGGACGAAGGGCTCGACGAGCGAATTAACCCATAGACACAGCCCACTGAGTTTCTCGCCGGATCTTCTCAGTGGGTCGCATTTCCGTTCCGGTGGTAGATTCTGCGAAGCACTGCTCTTGCTAGGATCAGTGTTAGAATCACTCCGGTTTGAGCCCCGTGAGCTCACCTACTAGTTAAGGTTACGCTGAAATAGCCTCTCAAGGCTATCAGATAAGGTAGGAAAAAAAAACAAACATACCGTGTAACTGGAACGCATAAATAGCTCCTGATAGAAATAGGTAGGACTAGCCTAAAGCTCAAAGGAATCAAATGTAGAAAAAGTTAGACCTAGAAATAAAGTGAGGATGTGAAGTAATTCAATAACCAGACAGAATAGTTTTGTTATTTATTTATTTTTTAAAAGCGTCTTAACTCATGAACGGTGTTCACCGATAATACTGGGGCTACGACCCAGTCGGTTCTATGAAACTATTCAACCCTTCTTGAATAAGGAAATAATATAATAGAACCATAGCGCTCAGGAAACACTATGAAAACCCTTGGATATTCCTCCAATATTCACACCAAAATCGGGTAGCACATTTGGATACAAAGGTTCTAAGTAGTAGGCTTGAACTCTACTCAGGTGGTGGGGGGTGCTATTGTAAAAATGATAAATCCATTGGATATTACAAATTTTAGAGAACAACAGTATCGGTGGTAAGCCCAAAGCTTTTATTACTGGTGGTAGGACCTCATGTGAGTCTGCACGGGTAGGTACCACCGCCCTGCCTATTTCTGCCGTGAAGCAGTAATGCGTTTCGGTTTGAAGGGCGGGGCAGCCGTTGTAACTACATTGAGACCTTAGAACTTGTCTCAAGGTGGATGGCGCATTTACGTTGTAGATTTCTATGGGCTCCAGTAACCACTTCACACCAGGTGGGCTGTGAGCTCGTCCACCCATCTAAGCAATAAAAAAAATAAAAAAGCTTCCAAACAATCTTGCTGTCCTGAAGATAGTTTCTAGTACTTTCTCTATCATATTGGTTACACTCGATCATCCCACAGAAGGCCGTTACCCAAAAGATAACTAGAGGGTCATATTGTAGGCATTTAGTAGGCAGCGGCTTGGCTCTGCCCCTGGCATTGCTGAAGTCCATGGGCGACGGTAACCACTCACCAGGTAGGGCCATATGCTCGTCGGCCTACAAGGGCAATAAAAAAGAAATGTTTTGTGTTATTGCCAGGGTCGGGCACATCGCCGTGTGGCAGCGCTTACGGCAGCGGCAGACGGAGCGCCCGCACCACCAGCAGGTAGAACTCAGGTACCTCCCCCGCTCATCCTGAACGCGCCACTGCGCTCACGACCCGCTCGCACGGCTTACGAGAGCGCTAGACGCCTACCCTCATGAGCTTCCACGTTCGAATCAGTACGCGACTTCTTTTGGCTGTAATCTGTTTTTTTTTCTTTTTCTTTTTTCATTACTTAGATGGGTGGACGAGTTCACAGCCCACCTTGTGTCAAGTGATCACTGGAACTCATAAGCATCCACAACGTAAATGCGCCACTCCGAGACAAAGTTCTAAGGTCTCACTATAGTTACTACGGCTACCACACCCTTCATACTAAAACGCATTGCGGCTTCACGGCAGAAATAGGCAGGGTGGGTGGTACCTACCCGCACGGACACACAAGAGGTCATACCACCAGTAATTAGTCAAATTAATTAGCACGCTTTATCTTTTGCTTATTAAAAGCTTGGTAGGTAGTTTTAAATACTCGATGATCATAGCGAAATAACTAACATAATCGCGACGACTTTACACCCTTAGTACATTACATTTGTTACTGTTCTTATTTTTTAGCGGAGGTCCAAATGGGAGCGACGGTCATTCAGACAGTTTTGCCCCCGTCCCCGCTGATATATCTTCTTTAATCGACAAGTGAGTTGATCAATGTGGTTTGTTGACGTAGAGGGAAGTGGTTACGTGAGTGTTCCACTATTGAGTCTGAAGACGAATGGTTTTTTTTTCGGAGTAAGCATTCACTGAGATGGAACAGGACTCTATCGATTAAAAATTGTGTTGGGTGGACATAAGTTAACATCTTTCGTAGGCTATGGATCCCAGCAGCTGTTAACCGCCGCAACCTCGATTGCCAGCTGTAATACTTAAAAATACAAAAATTTGCATTGAGTTTGCCAGGAATTAAAACCTGTGTCTTAAAGAATATGACTATTATATGACTTTGTAACGCAGCATTCCGTTTCGCGGGGCAACAGCAGCCAAAGGGAATGTGACTCAGGTCCGTGCCGCGACGACCCACCCCGCGCTACCCGCGCCCGCGCATCTGTTGCATCATTCGCACCCCCAATTAGTGCGCGCCAGACTTTGAAGCGGAAAACATACGTCCCCGGTCGATACCGGAACTGACAACCCGAGAGTCTCATGCCAGTCGGGCACCTAACATTAAAACTTTACAAAATATGTAGATACCTAGGTAGGCATATTAAAAAAATGAATTTAGATCTTTGGGTAATGAGTGCACGTACGTTTCAGATACCAACAGAGAAAAGAACAAGAACGTCGAGAATGTACAATACACGTGTAGCACGAAATAATAATTTTGACTTTCTAAAACGGACTTAAAGTGTTTAAATAGGAATTTAAACATCTTGAAATTACCAGATCGCACTTCTTTTTTTTTTTATGATTGAAGGATTACTGGTGGCCCGCAGGCCTTTCCAGTTTCACCAGGACAGGTGGGCGAGCAAAGGCTCAGCCAGGAGAGATCGCACTTCTCTGGTTGATTACAATATTATGTAATTTTGAAACATGTCTATTAATTTGACTGCATTTCATTTGTTATCATTTCAACGTCGATATTAATTTTAATGTGAAACCAGTTGTCAAACGGCACTTACCTATTCTCAAACGTAATTTATTAAAAAAATATTGATCTATGTAACGAGAAAGCTGCTTTATAAGGATTGTAATTATTAAGTTGGTAAAACTGTAAATAGCATGAAACTTTTAATATTATAAACATTTAATAATAAACCGATTCGATTTGAATTGAATGTTAGCTGTGAGATTTTTGTTACAAGGAAAAAAAAATTGTTCTAAATAGGTACAGTTTATCCATAGTATATAATATTACCGTGCGTAAAGTGGCTAACTAGAGTTTAAATAATATTTCAACGTCCAACGTCCTTTGACAAAATTTTTGTTAAATTTTCAATAAGTGCCAATAAATTGTTACTAACTCTTTTCTTAATATAGCTTAATACTTATAATTATAATATTCTAAATCTCACAGCAGTAAAAAGGTACTAAAATTAATGCTTCTGGTCATGATTATATGGCGAACGGTTATATACTTGCTTAAATTATATTTTTTAAATTATATATTAAAATACATACTTTTATTTCAATAGTTCAAAAGGTCACGACCAGAAGCTTAGATTAATATAGTTATTAATGTAAGCTGTAATGGCTGTTCCAAACTGCAAAAGATACATATCATTATATAGACTGCCAGTATTAAGTAAGTGATGAAGTCATTAAATATTATTATAAAGAAAATGTTAAAGATTACAGTTACTTAAATTATATACTATTGTATAAACACTTTCTATTTACATGTTGTGTAATGATAATATTAATTTAATTAGGGAGAAAGAAGGAAATAAAGATGTGTGTTGTGAAACAAAGTTTTCTCATTTAAATTAAAATTTACCTATTAACTGTTTTATAGTTGTATCTAATTGATGAACATGATTATCAATGTGGTCGCATTTCGAGAAGTTATAGAGTCAGGCTGCGAACACTTTAAAATTATTCAAACCCTAGTGTCCTATCCCCTGGAATTTCAAAGACAGCTGTTAAGAGTATTCGCTGGCCGTTTGGCTCTGAGCATGGCCCTAGGTTGTCAAGATACGTGTGACGCAGCGTTCGTCGTTTTGTGGCCTTCCGTACTGAGAAATCAAATGAGTAAAATTGACCTTGAGCGGCGTCCGCCTTCCAGGCTGATCGTGGGATGCTTATGGGTAATAATAAGTCTGATAATAAAACCTATTTGGGACTTAACCGTCACAAATGACTCTGTCCTTCAAATATCGCCGAAATCAAGAGGCTGGATCTTTGCTCGATCTCGGTAAAGGTACTAGAAAGCTTTCAGTAGATTTATATCAAATCGACTATTCATTCGTTTTTTAACATTTTGACAGCCTTGTGTCAGATGTTCGAATTGTACATTGTTGATAATCTATGGACTGCCCATAAGCCCATCTCTAAAAAACTACTTGCTCTGCCCTAAATTGAAGTAGTCTCTCGTCAGTTTTTTAGTGAATTAATTAATAATGTTGTACATTGGGCAACTAAATTTCAAATTTGCCAATGAATTAATACAATAAACCAAATACCTATTTCACTAACACTTATATCTGCGGTTTGTTGAGAAGTGTTATAAACATGTGTACTACTCATTGTTTTGATCCCATTAAACTATATTGATTTATCTTAAGCCAGTGACCTGTTTTTCGTCTTTGTAAAGTGTAATCCTTAAATAATTAATACTAATACTATAAAGAGCAACAGCTTGGATGCAAGGGGATGGTTCACATGGATTCATATCGTTTTGGAAAACGAATAATGTGTTGTTCTAAAATAATGCATTCGAAAGTTTATATATCGTGATTTTAATTGAAAAAGTATAAAAACATACTAGTAATTATAATAGTATGTGTTTGTCGCGATGATGACGCCGATAGAGGAGAAGAAAGATGAAAAGGTATGTAATGTTTGTGAGAAATGAATTTTTAATGATGAATTAGGATCTTGTTGAAATAAATAGTTAGTCTTTAACCAAATGTACGAATTGATTTCTTTAAATTTCTGAGGTAGATAGTTATACCAAACAATATATGTGTTGATTTCATATATTTACAATTACTTTATTTAAAAATGAAGAGTTTACAAATAGTTCCCTACCACAAAATAATTGAAATTATATTATGTGTGACTAGTTTATGAAACAACATAAGATCGCAAGAATGTTTACCAAAATTGTAAACTGTCATACTATTGTGAATTGTTCATTCTTTACATAGTTGAATATTTTTTAATTCATAAGCAAATTCTGAGGTGCTTTGAACTTATATGTGAACCATCATTATTCAATACATATTTTATCAAGTTAATTGTGCATCAATTACTATTATCTTATACTACTACTATTCTCTATTACTACTCTTACTAATATATTACTATTATTTAATACTAATATCACAGCTTCTCTACAATATAATGTCAGCAATAATAGTTTATATAATTAGATCATACTTAGCTATTTTCTTAGTTTTTGTATCGCAGATATAATTCAGAGCACATTTCCTCTAAGTAATTTAATTTTATTATATCTGATCTGATTTCAAATGCTTTGCAATAGTAAGAGTTACAGATGACAGTCATCTTTGGTGTAAAAAAATTATAATTGAGAAAATTTTCGTTTAGATTATTAATAATAAAAAAATCTATGAATCTTTAAGTTGAAATAAAACAAAACTAAAGGAAATTCATAATCATAATTATCCTGCCCTTCTCCCAGTCACCTGGGGTCGGCACAACATGTTTTCTCCCTCCATACTCTTCTATCATATACCATTTCGTCGCTCACTCCCCTCTTACCCATATCGTCTTTCACACAATATCCTTCCACATTCCTAGTTAACACTCTCTTACCAACCTCATTTTCATTTCGTCTCATCACATGTCCATACCATCCCAAACACGCACTCCTCAGCTTCTCTGTCACAGGTGCCACTTTCAGACTTCCTCTAACATATTCATTCATATTCATTCATTATAAAGGAAATTCATAATATAGCACAATAAAAGCTCCTTGTTTGCACTTCCTTCATTCATGTTTTCACTATTTGCAGATTAAAAAAATGTCACCCAATTCCTATTATTCTTCTATATCGTTCCCTCACTATTGAGGATTGCGACTACATGTGACATTTCTCCACAGTGTTCGGTCATGGGTGGCATGTACCACATGGTACAGACTACCACCAAGTGCTTCCCTTACTAGATCTGACCATCTGGCTGGTGTTCTGCCCACGGCACGCTTGCCCTCTATGCAACCCGCAATTATGAGCTTCTCTAATTCATGTCTGGGAGACTGCATGATATGTCTGAAGAAACTCATAACACATTCCCGCCAGATGACAAACAGCCTTTTTCGGATGTTTAGCTCCCTTAGAATGGATTCGTTAGTTCTCATCGCACAGTATTTGTAGCATCCTCCACCACACCCACATTTCAAAGGCATCAATCAATAAAATGCTTATTGTTACATATCTTCTTCCTATATTCACAGCTAAATATTTCTTTATTCATGCATCTAATCGGTACATCGGTACACGCACATAGCTAAAAAGGATTCCAAAATTGTGAATCCAACCGAATACCCTTTGTACCATTACCATTCCATACTAACAGTTTCTGTATTCAAGGCATATTTATGGAACACATGCCCCACAAATAAAGAGGTTTTACTGTAATATAATTATAAAAACAAAATAATATGTGGAATTCTTGACTCCACCATCTATATGACTAACTTGAAAACTTAATTTAGAAATTCATAATTTAAATATTTACTTAAGATCTTAACTGTTAATTTAGAACTAAAATTTCAAGAAAGTGAATTAAGTTCCATTCTACTGATATCAAAGTACTTACATTCAATTAAATTTACATTGAATCTATTTATTAAAATATTATGTTAAAAATTTTACAACAGTGGTCAATTAATTTCTAGATACGCACAGGAATGGTGCAGGTGTCGGATGGGAAGTCCCGTCCACGGCCTGCACGGCTTTTACTTACCATGGATGCGGTGACCATCCAAAGAGAGGCACCTGTGCCCATATTGCCACCAAAGGACAAAAATGTGCCTCACGCTAGGGTAAGAAGGATATGCTAATTTTATAATTTAGTTTACTAGGCAATTGAATAAGTTGAATGACTCTTAAGTGGTTATTAAAGCAATAACACAAGAGACAATGCACCATGAGACAATAGTAATAATAGTCATAAATAACTGGGAAGAAATTACACTGTCATCCAAATCCCAAATTAGGATTCCCTATGTTAAGGGTACCAGAGATTGACATACATACTTATATTATTATATGTTTAGCTATATACATATATAGATAATAAACACCCAGATAAAAACCACACAAACTTGTTCATAACATGAGTGTTTGCCCAATGTGAGAATTGAACCCACAACCCTAGTTCAATAGCTAGGGGTGCTATCTACTGCATCACCGAGTCAGTCAGTCATTCAGTTGAATTTTAATGTTAACTAACTATGCCGCCTTTCCATTCCATGTGGTATCTTTCTTGGAGCATTGACATAAGAAATAATCAATCTGACCATCAGTCAGATTATTATATAGTTGTAGTACAATAAAACAAGAAAATATATACCAATCTCTAGAGAGGGAAAAAAAACACAAAGAATTATTTTAAAACATAGACTAGTACTGTTGCATCTCTTTATAATGTGGCCTATGCAAATTTTGGAAGATCAGTCACTGATGATGACAAAATGCCCTTCTTTACAAATATATCGATCACACAAATTTGATATTAAGAAAATGTAAATTAGATCTAAATTTTATTATAAACTTGATCCATGAACGTTGACGAACCTTTTGTTGACTACTATATTTATATATTTAAATTAAATTAAAATTCAGTAATAGTCATCTGCAAACCGTATATTACAACATAAATTATTACATATGGTCACAGTCACAACAAATATTGCTGCAGAACTTTGAAAATCTCAATTGTTTTTATAGGAGCGGATGGTACAAATTACCAGGCAGAAAGTTGGTGGTCTTGGCCTCAGCATCAAGGGAGGTTCAGAACATAAACTGCCAATATTAATCTCAAAGATATACAAGGACCAAGCTGCTGATCAGACAGGACAACTTTTTGTTGGAGATGCTGTAATTAAAGGTAATTTAACAAGTACTTATACCATTTTTTTTTTATGCTTAGATGGGTGAACAAACTCACAGCCCACCTGGTGCTAAGTGGTCACTGGAGTCCATAGACATCTACAACGTACATGCGCCACCCATCTTGAGATATAAGTTTTAAGTCCTCAGCATGGTTACAACGGCTGCCCCGCCCTTCAAACCAAAACGCATTACTGCTTCAGCGCAGAATAAAATTAACTATATGGAAACAATATTTTTAATAAATAAATCATCTGGTATATTTGTAGTCCAACCACTGACAATAATCTATAAATATTTCATGCTTGAATTAAAAAAATAATGAGATTTTTTCTTGATCACATACATGAAACAACGACAAAAATAGTCACAAGAGATGTACAAAATTATTGGAATGTCCTTATTGTAATTGCCATCAATATCTACGTTGAACTATTTAAATAGAGGTCAATTGACTTGTTTTACTTGCAATTCTCGAACCGGCAATGATATAGGAATGATGTATTGTCTATTAATATTATGATCATCTTAGGATGTTAAAGGTCAGACTAATTAGCCTCATTATGATAAATAATTCACATTCAGATTCACTATCGGTATTCCTAGACTATAATTGCTTAATTCATAAATAAGAATAGAAAGGAAAAATTTATTAAGATATATTTGCATTACAAATAAAAAATAAAAATAAAAGATGTGTGGTGTCATGGGACACCGGATAGGAACGAAGTTCCTTATTATAAAAATATTAATTTTAAGTTCTATTCGAGGTATAAAGAAAATAATTATTCGGGTATAAATTTTTTATTATGATTTTTTTATTGATAAAAATATATAAAAAAACTACTTTACAAAATTATCCACTTTATTTTTTTCTCAATGATTTATAAAAAAATATATAATAATAACCGTCATCACGTAGACTATACATTAAACACTGTATAGACTGTATAGACACTAGAGACTGTACATAAATGATAAAAATCTTACGTTACGGACGTTTTTTCCCGGTTACCCCTCTCCATCGTCCCATAAGGAACTTCGTTCCAACAACTCTTGTAAGGCAGTTTAGTTCTTAGTGGCCTGGTTGATGCTGTATGATTACTAGAACTTATAGATTTAAATTCTCACCTGTATAACTACCGTCCCACCTGTTAAATGGTGACTGTTTCATGACAAATAGTGGCACTTTCAAACTTAAAATATGCACCTCTTTCAACAACGACATTAAAGTTGGTTTTGATATCATACATCAGAATGATCGAAAACAGCCTGCTCAGAGTTGTTCTATAAATGTTTCTGCATACTATATACATATATATTATTTTTTATTTCAGTTAATGGTGAATACATAACAGCCTGCAAACACGACGATGCTGTGAACATACTGAGGAACGCCGGTGATATCGTTGTACTAACTGTGAAGCATTATAGGGCTGCCACACCTTTCTTACAGAAGCAAGGTAAGGTCTTTACCTGTAGAAAGAAGGCCTGACCTGTAGAAAGGCTGTAGAAAATACCTCTCTCTCAGAACCTCTGGGTCTGCGGAGGGACTTCGGTTCCCTCTGTATTCTGTACCGTATATTCCATGTAGAGTGCTCTGAGGAATTGTTCGAGATGATACCGGCATCTCGTTTTTACCATCGCACCGCCCGCCACCGGAGTAGAGTTCATCCATACTACCTGGAGCCACTGCGGTCATCCACAGTGCGTTTCCAGAGATCTTTTTTGCCACATACCATCCGGCTATGGAATGAGCTCGCCTCCACGGTGTTTCCCGAGCGCTATGACATGTCCTTCTTCAAACGAGGCTTGTGGAGAGTATTAAGCGGTAGGCAAGGGCTTGGCTCTGCCCCTGGCATTGCTGAAGTCCATGGGCGACGGTAACCACTCACCATCAGGTGGGCCGTATGCTCGTCTGCCTACAAGGGCAATAAAAAAAAAAAATACACGACAATTATGCTGATCAGAGATATTGATAAAATCAAAGCTTGTCATTGTACTTTTGTCCCTACTCGAGATATCCAACAGTGGTAATCATATATTATAATGCTTGGTTTCTAACTCAATCTGCTATACCTCAAATCTGATATCGAGGTATATGAATATATTATAATAGGTTTTCAAACATTACCACATTCAAGTTGGTTAGTAATATGGATTCTAATAATGCTCTACATTACTCTGTTTAGTGCTTTGTTTGATACTAGACATACTAAACATACCTATGTTGGACTAACTTGTCTTCTATATTGGATTCTAACATTCAAAAGTCGCCATAGAACAATAATTATAAAAAATATATATTTGCAGCCCATCAAGCTTCATGTATATAAATTATAGATGAATATGGAATACTCAGTTTATAACAATTTTATTGTAATGTTACAGCTGACGGAGCATCAGATACGGACAGCAGCACCGGCGACGATCACCCATCGCTTCACAACAAGGTCGATGCGAATTGCAACTCGGAGAAGAGTTCAGAACACACCAATGGTGGTTGGCAGGTTCTTGGCGCTTATGTTTCTTAACGACGCCGAATTGAAGTGCTCACATATTAGAAAATTTATTTATTGGGTTGTGAGAATATCTGAATATTAAAAAAAATATGAATGCCTTTCTAGGCAGACGATCTTACGGCCTACCTGATGCTGAGTAGTTACCGTCGCCCATGGACGTCAGCAATGCTAGAGACAGAGCAAAGCTGCTGCCTACAAACTTACTGTCTTTACTGTACACTTGACCTAACTCTGAAGCTGGTGTTGAATTGTTATTGATTCACACCAATCCAAGAATGAATACTGAATGTTTAAGCCGGTTCATATTTCGTAAAGTCGCAACGTGGAGAATGAAGAAAAGGGCGAATGTCAATCTTAGATGTCGTTTCTTACATTATTATCAAAATAATAATATAAAATGTTTTAATTTCTATAGATTAATGCCGGACATACACTAGGAATCATCGTACGCCCTGCATAAGCAGATTTTTTTGCTAACCCAAAAAATATAGAACAATAGAAGTTAGTCAATGCTCAATAATTTGAATGTTTCTAGAGCGCTTGGCCTGATGAAGAATCGAGTAGACCGGGAAGTGCTACAGGATCGGTGAGAGGCTCCCGGCCTCCCTCGGTCGCTTCGGATCGACACGATGTCACCATTAAGGAATGGGTTGACGTCGTATCAGGTTTGTCTTAATAATTTCACTAATATAAATAATTATAATATAATAAAATTTTATAAACAGTGACCAATACTAACTGAAAGCTGGTGGTAGGACCTCTTGTGAGTCCGCACGGGTAGGTACCATCACCCTGCCTATTTCGGCCGTGAATCAATAATGCGTTTCGGATTGAGGGATGGGCTGCCGTTGTAACTATACTGATACTAACTATACGGATACCTTAGAACTCATATCCCAAGGTGGGTGGCGCATTTGCGTTGTAGATGTCTATGGGCTCCAGTAACCACTTACCACCAGGTGGGCTGTGGGTTCGCCCACCCTAAGCAATAAAAAAATATAATAATAATACACTAATTATTTACTTCTAAAAATTGAAAGAGTTCTAAAGAGTGGGTAGCGGTTTGGCAATCTCAGATGTGCTGATATCTGGTGCCGATTTTGGGTAGTATTTCGAAGTAAGCCACTGCTTTAATGGGCAAGAAATTAAATTTGATACCTCTTTTTTTCAGTGCCATTAATGATGGGATACGTAACGCGATACGTCCTTGGGACAGATAAATTGAGACCTGGAGCTTTTGAGGTCAGTAATCTTAAACTTACAAGTTTTAACTATTATTGCGAGCCCGCTTTGTAAGTTTCCACCACATCAGCTAGTTCTGTTGTGAAGGAACCGATTATGGTATTTTCTTCTTCTCAGTCGTACACTCCTGGCGGAGTGGTCGTGATTATGTATGTCTCATTGCTTGGTTGTGGCTTTTGAGAGACTTCTCCATCTATCTCTATTTGTGGCGGTACGTGTACATTCAGTAAGGGAACACTTAGTAGACGACTTAATCAGGTCTGTCCACCTTGTGGATGATCGGCCGCGAGAGCGTTGACTGTCTACTCTTTCTTGAACCGCTAATCGTTCCGATAAGCTTTCATTACGAATGACATGTCCAAACATATTAAGGATTCGCAATTGCAGAATCGACCAAAGCCTTTGTTGGATTTGGAGCTCTTTGAGGATATTAGTGCGGTGAGCAGTCCATTTTATCCTCAGCAAGCGTCTCCTGCACCACATCTCAACCCATACACGTCATTTCGGATCCTCCCGATCCACTAACGGTGCTTTTAGGTACCTCAAGCAACGGTTATCGTTCTCGTCGAACCCATCGCTTGCGACGAAGGGCTCGACGAGTAAATTAACCCACAGACACAGCCCACTGAGTTTCTCGCCGGATCTTCTCAGTGGGTCGCGTTTCCGATCCGGTAGTTGATTCTGCGAAGCACGGCTCTTGCTAGGGTTCGTGTTAGCAACGTCGTCAGGTTTGAGCCCCGTGAGCTCACCTACTAGTTCGGTGAATCTAGAATGGTTATTCTCGAGGTTACTAGAATAGGTAGGACAAAAAAAAACCCATCTCAAGAGTGTCAATCTTTTTACGACACTTTTGATGGATCGTCGTTTTGATGATACGATGGATGGTATTTTAGTTCAAGGAAGGCTTTGATTTTATGTCGACAAAACTAAGGATGATAATTATTCACCGCGACCAGAGAGGTAGCAGACGTTCGCACGCATACGCACACGCACGCACGTAACGGCACGCACGCACTATTGATGCAACCATAGCGCCAAGATACATTTGTATTGTGGTACAAATATGTCTGGACTAAAGTCCGAGTCGCAGGTGCTGATTTTTGTAAATGCTCAGGCGTGATCACGCACGATTTCTATGAAGAAGCAATAACATCGTATCTCAGGTTTGTTAGTAGTACACTTGGAAAGCTTTGAAGGTAGAGAAACAGGTAGACTTGAGAAAAAAAGGATGTATTGCGTGAAAGACGATATGTGTGTGTAAGAGGGGAGTGAGCGAAGAAATGGTATGTGATAGAGGAGTATGGAAGGAGAAAACATGTTGCGCCGATCCCAGGTGACTGGGAGAAGGGCTGGAGAATGATGATGAATATTGACACTAGCGTCTATCGGCTCTTGTAACCAGCTATAAGTCAGGTCGCAAACGAACGTTATTTAAACATATCGAGAGGGCTATTTTTGCAACTTCACAGGAGGGCCATTTAAACTATAAAATTTGCAAGAATATCTATAACAAAAAAAAACTTCTTCAGCTATTTAAATGCAGTAAACCTAATTGAAGTTCAATTAAAAACGTCGAGCGTTGATGCTAATATCAAATAAAACAACCCTTTAATTACAAAGATAAATGTCGCTTAAATTAAATATCCTTTCACCCCTCAATATATTAAATATTATTATTACTGGTGGTAAGACCTCTTGTGAGTCCGTACGGGTAGGTACCACCATCCAGCCTATTTCTGCCGTGAAGCAGTAATGCGTTTTGGTTTTAAGGGTAGGACAACCGCTGTAACTATACTGATAATACTGAGATCTTTGAACTTATATCTTAAGGTGGGTAGCGCATTTACGCTGTAGATGTCTATGGACTCCAGTACCCTCTTAACACCAGGTGGGCTGTGAGCTAGTTCACCCATCTAAGCAATAAATATATATATATATAAAGTTCTTGTCACTGTTTGTGTACCGTTTTCAGTGATTACTGTTATTTCAGGTCCGAGGAGCTCGTCCGCATTTAACCACCGGTGTGATACACGTGGACGATCCCGTGGCGCTGTCTCACTGGCTGAAGAGCATTTCCGATAATATCGTGGGACTCACGAACTTACAGGTACATTTATAACAGTAATACGCGTGATAGTTGTGACGAGATATACGTGTGATTTAAGTCAGTGGCAACACTCAAACTACGATTCATACTATGGAGATGGAACGTCTGTCTACGTTGCCGCTAGGGGCGCTGTTCCAACTACATACAAATTTGATTTAACTTTTACACTATCGAGAACGTTAAAAAACTAGCACTATGCACACAGAACACCATAAGATTCGTTCATAAAGTACCACAAATATAAATGCTGTGGCAACCCTATTAGATAGGGATAAGATGCAGTAGCGGACTTTTTGGCGGGAACGCGAGGAGTGAAGTTGTGTGATTTGTTTTTTTTTTATCTATTTAGTGTTTCTTCAGATTTAAATGTGTAATAACGGTGGTTCATTAACTGTTTAATATCTTTGAAAGTGCACAAATGTGGGAAAGTGAAACAAAGCCACTGGACGTAGCTTCTCGGGATCCACCAAAAAGTCCACTGAAAAAATCTCAGTAAATGACCACCATTTTACTGAGATTATATTTCATGCCATATCATCTCATTTCATTTAATTTCATCCCAGTTGATTAATGTCTCAAATTAATCATCTTCATTTCATTTCACTCCATATTATATATTTTTTTCATTTTTCATAAAAATAAGAATATAAATTAAAATAAGATATGGCTTAAAAGTCTTAGTTTCCAGGTCATAAAATTCCTTGAAAAGATGCGGTAGCGGATATATATATTTTTTTGTAATTCGACAGATGAAACTTTTTAACCGCCACCTGGCGGCCGGAGAGCGGATCGAGTACATGGGCTGGGTGCACGAGGGCGTGGTCACGGCCGCGCAGCCCTGGCAGTCCTATCGACCCAAGTTCTTGGTACTGAAAGGAACTGATGTCATGCTTTTCGATGTACCACCGGTTAGTTGCATTTCAATTTGACTACTGAGTTTATTTATTTTTATTTATTGCGTAGATGTGGTCCCACCTGGTGTTAAGTAGTTACCAGAGCCCATAGACATCTGCAAAGTAAATGCTGTCAGCGACCTTGAGGTATGAGTTCTTTGGTTCTACGGTCTCAGTATAGTTACAACGGCTGCCCCACCCTTCAAACCGAAACGAATTACTGCTTCACGCCAGAAATAGGCATGGTAGTGGTACCTACCCGTGCGGACTCACAAGAGGTCCTACCACCGCGTTAAATGTGGGAATGTTTTTTTTTTTATAAAGCGTTTTTTCCAACACCTGTATATTAGAAATATTATCAAGGGAAGCCTCCGCGACGATGCTTTTTTTTATGACCATTAATCACGAAAACTAAATTCACAGATGAACATGACCGAGCTAGCGAAATGCCCAGAAAGCCTCAAAGTTTACCAGACCATGTTCAGGACTGTAAAAGAGAGCGAGACGGTGGACTGGAGGCAGCACTGCTTCTTGGTGCAGAGCAGCAGCGCCGGGGTCGGGACCCCAGGCCCGAGGTACTTCAGTGCGGAGACCAGACAGGAACTGCTGAGGGTCGAGGCCGCCTGGACAGCTAACATCGTCAATTCTGTTATAAGACTCGGGGTGAGTACTCGGTGTTACTGTGGCCATACAAAGTGTTTTCTCATAATTAACGGACAAAAATTTTTGTTGTTGAATTTCATATGATACGCGCTGGGGTTCGAGAAATTTCGATTACTGACTGACTGCGGCCATCCCTGCAATTCTTTAATAGTCGATGCCACTTCCCTAGAATTATCGAGAAAATTCCACACATCTCTAGTATTGTTTCCGATATCTGGCAATAGATGGCGTTGTACTCCTCGATCGCTCTAGGTGCTACTACATCCTTCGATATTCGTTCGACTATTCGGTATAGATGGTGTTACTCTTACTGGCGTAACGATATCTACATTTTCTTCAAAGAGTATTCAAATAACAGGCACTATTATAATATCATTATTATACATTACATTATCATAAATTATATATCACATTACTGATATTGTGGCTATTCTGAAGGTCTATATTCGACAATTTAGTTTTTAGTATTATTTTAGAGGTTAAAAAATATTAGTTGACTTAGTCAAAAGAAGATAGTATGTTTCTATTTCGCTCGTTTCATGAACATTTTCTTTTTCTAGAATCATTGAAATACCCTTAGTTTAAATGTGAAATGTCTTAACTTGTATGATTACGAACAGAAAGCATAACTCGAAGTGTTGATGTCAAACATGTGAATTAGAGAAATACTCCAATAGCAATTAAAGAGTTTTTTTATATGTTTGCACATCAAGTACTCTGTTTTCGTGGATGATATTAATTATAGCAAAGTCAGACAAATAAATAATAGTTAAACTAATAATAATAATAATAATAATATATTTTTAATAAATTTATTTTCTGTTTTTTAGTTGGATTTTCTATAAAAGCGTATTTTAAATCGTTAATAAGTATGCCAAATTACGAGTTAATCCGACGTTTTGAAAGGGATCAAAATGATGTTCAAAGATTCCGTTACATACTAACATACATAATTCGACGCTTGAAAGGCAAACGTGACTAAGCGACAATGCGTGAACTTTACAGTAGACTAATTTAAAGTTGAAATACCTGAAAACAAAATTTATTTTAACGAATCTAGCTGTAGGATTGAAATGATTTTAATAGACCTAGATTTTTTTTTTTTTTTGCGCATCGAACATGTTTATTGCCTATCATTTATGGACAAAGCAGTTATTGTCGCTTAGTCACGTTTGCCTTTCAAGCGTCGATTATGTTTGAAGCTAATAAAAGCGTATTAAAATCACTCAAAATTTTCTCGTCTGCCGTGAACCTAATAATTTGGAAAGTCGTTCAAGAGCTCTGGCTCCTCGCAGCCGCACGAGCGGCCGTCTCCTCCAGCTGCTTCTTGTAGTGTGGATATGGACGTAAACATTCCTGAAAATCTTCAGCTGTGAACCTGAAATGGTTCAAGGAATTGATTCCCTGTGATGTCCAGTCACCGTCTTCGTCTAATTTGTCGATTACGACAAAGGGCTGCGCGTGTAAATTAATCCATAGATACAGCCCACTGAGTTTCTCGCCGGATCTTCTCAGTGGGTCGCGTTTTCGATCCGGTGGTAGATTCTGCGAAGCACTGTTCTTGCTAGGGCTAGTGCTAGCAACGTCATCAGGTCTCAGCCCCGTGAGCTCACCTACTAATTCACTGAATCTATTGGGTTATTCGGAAAGTAATTTCGTTTTTTTTGGAAATGAATACATACATCGAGCTTCGAAAATAATCTCAGGCCTTTCAAGTGATCATTCATTGTTTTCGCCTAAAAGTTGTATATATTCAGGGATACTCATTGAAATTTCCAGTAATAATAATTAACGATGCGTACTTGTATATTTCAGTTATCTCTAGGGCTATTATTGTCGCCTTCCTTAATATACCGGGTCGTAGTATAGCTCCCTCGCCGAAGTACGAACCGTCCCTTAAATGGGCCATCTGAAAACAAATTAATATTCGTCCGTTTGTTTGTTTATCCGCAGGGCAACCGCTCGCTCGACTTTTGCGTGTTTGAGTTGAAACCTTATAAGCTTTGTTAATGGTATATATGGAAGGTTTTTATGATTGTGTCACGAATAATGCTACGGCTGGCATTTATGTGGTGTTAATAAATATCGTTTTTTGTTTGTTTAGCGACCTTGACAACGGATTGTGGCCTAGCCTTACTTGTACGAATATAATATGATTGATGATAATTTGGATGCAGGCATAAAATTACAAAACGTTCGGGTTGTCGATAATCTCCGCAACCGATCGCCATCTGTTCGTATCTGGGCCGTATGTTCATCTGCTACAAGGATATTAAAAAAGCTTAATATGAATATACCGGTGACGCAAAACTAAGAGAACCACTGTTGCGCTAACTACGTCATGAGAAATTACGTATAAGAGATGCGTTATTAAAAGTGCCAAATATAAATGTGTGGTCTATCTAATCGCAGGAAGAACAGATGAAACGCGAAACAAAGATAACTGCTAGAATGCTAATAATCTCTGGTACAACTTATTACCGGAGCACCCCGGAAAATGATTTTGATAAATTCAGTAGTTGCCGCTCTTGGCACATAGATGTCGCTGTACAATATATTTTTTTAAATGTATTGTGCTATCACCTCTTTGTCCTTCGAGTCTAATACTGTAAGGGTACCAGAAGAGATCAAATAAAACGATCTTCCGGGCTGACCGTACTTCACCACCATCTGAAAACATTGTAAAAGATCATAATAACATGGACCGTAATGGAGTAGCAAATGTTGCCTTCATCAGGAGTTACCACTACCCCGTTTATTGATGTCACTAAGCAGTAAAACGTTTTAGCTAGCTATAAGGATGGGAGAACGGTTATAGAATTGGGATTAAGATCCCATGTCGGAAGGCGGGTGGTGACATTCACGTTGTAATCGCCACCTTTCCCATGATCATCTCTCGTTAATGTAAAAAAAAGCTAAAAGCTAAAATAAATTTCTATTACGTGTAAATTGGGATCCTTGCTACTTCTGTTGTAAGCAGCTCGACAGGCGAGCATGCAGGTCATCTTATGAGAAAACGTTAACGCCGTCCTTGTGTTAAGACGTGGTCAATTTAATTAGAAAGTTTTTTTTTTTTGTTTTAATTTTTTACCTGAACTTGAATGAAATTAATAACCCAAAATAGTTAGGTTTATTTTTACAGCATGAAAACATTTCCACGACCCTGTACGTGGCTAATGTGAGTGGCAGGTTCGTGTCCCTCATGATACATCCTAAATACCCTTTGATCTTTCGGGGAATAGAGATGGAAGTTCATCCCAGATTCTAAAGAATAAAGATCTTTGAGAACGCACCGTATGCTGTTTTTTTCAAAGAGAAAATAATGAGGATTGCCCTCGTGTCAGTTTAAAGGACTGTGAGATTGAGTCTTTACGGGTAATACAATGGGTACATATAGGTCATTCAGACAATAACTTGGTCTAAGACTAGCTACGCGATTGCCGGTGTAATAATTTTTCAAATTTCGACAACAACAGTCTTACAGAGTATAGGCAGTTTTTGGAACGAAGTTCCTTACGGCAGGCTTGGAGGAGATAAGGATTTTGCTGCGCGACCGAACTGAAAAAAAAGTATTAGTAAAACCGTAAGAAAAAGTCCGTGGAATAAAACCGTTAAATGAGACGTGCGCAAGCGCGACAGTTGTATACACAAGCGAGTAGTGTATATTACCTTTTTCTTTCTCCTTCTTTCTTTTTGTTCTCTCATCCCTTCTTTCTCTATTTTGTAATTATTTCTATTTCTATGTAATTTTATGTTTTTCAAACAAAAATAAAGAGACATATTTTGTTATTTTAATTGATAATTTGAATTACTATTTTTTATTATTTTACGTAATTTATTATTTCCTAAAATACTGAATTTCCTAAATACTTTCATGTACTTAAATAAAAATTAATTTAAGCAAAATTTAAGAGAAAAATCAAGAAAACCTACATAAAATTGAGCAGGTTTTTTTTTTTGCAAATTGTGTCGATTCTACATTAGCCGAAGGAACTTCGTTCCTATCTGGTGTCCCACGACACCACATCTTTTTTTAATTTACCTGTCCCGGCATATAGAACTTCCGTTTCAAGCTAAATATCATGCTGTTAATCAAAGCGACAGGCATATCCCGGAACAGCGGTACATTATTCATCAACGTCTTGCAACTGTACATGTTTATGTCCTGCTTTATTTGTTCGTTGATTGTATCCAAAATGTGTCGTTCATTAAAATAATGTCCGTTGTATTTATAATTAATGAAGTGATCGATCTTCCTCTGTAGACAAGTCGGGAGCTTCTTTAGGTTCATGTAGTCCCTTAGCTCCTTGTATCTACCGTAAAATACGTTCACCTCGAACTGCTGGTACATAGTCAGACGGAGCAGCTTCATGAAGGCGTACGTAAGGAAAATCAGACCGGTCAAACTTATCGCTGTGGTCTGGATCATTCTAAGTAGCGAGTGGCCTTCGAGGGGCGTGTAATACCCTGCGCCCACGCACAAACTGCAGACGTAGAAGAGATTGATCGTGTACTTCTGAAACATCGGAATGCCGGCGTTGACCGCAAATCTATTCATCCAGCGCTGCAAGTAGTCGTCCATTGCGTACAGATTAACGCAGAAAGCTGGCATTTGATAATGTATATAGGCCATCCAGTGGAAAAACATTACGATCTGCACCACAACAGAAAGGAATTCTTTCGTTATGTACGACAAGCCTAGTTGATTCAAAAGGTTCACGCTTTGATAGTCCAGAGAAACGAGCCGGAATAGTTTGAAAATGAGGAATATTGTGTGCGACGGATAACGACAATCGTGGAATGGCTGGATCATTTGTAACGGCAGGCAACCGATGAGGTCGAAAATGAAATTGGTCTTCAAATATTGTTTGATGATCAACTTCGGTTCTAGAATGATCTTTTTGTGTCCTTCGTCTAGGTACCCGGTGATAAAGCATATTATCACATTAATAAATGCGATCGCATCGGCGTATAAGATGAAATAATCGTAGGGATCCGGACCTGTAATGTGAATTGTAACAAAACTAAATAACGTAGACAATGTGCAAGTTTAATTATAGAACAGTCAACATTAAATTGTTTCTATTCTTTAATTAAACTTGACATCTGAACCTGACTCTGTCCTCATGTCCTTTGGGGTGACATTTCCAAAAATGATTATTTAATGGATTATTACAGCATATGAGGCATCAAATGCAAAAATCCCAATAAAAAAAAGTATAATAGTGTTTAACAATAGAACCATAATAATGTTTTAACTTATTAATAATTGGAAAAACAGACTTGTTGATCACACGAATGGCTACCTAAAAAATAACTGTAGGATGTTTTCGAAACACAAAAGAATGCTTACAGCCATGAAATACCTGCATCGGCATATACCCCATGGCAGCGAATGTAATTAACACAAAGTAAAAGTCCCAATAAAACTTGATAGTGCTGTAGGGATGCCAAATTAGCCAGTTATTTAAGGCGACTTGCCGATCCCATTCAAGCCTCAATGCCATCTGGCTTCTGATGAACTGGGCACTGCCGTGATGCCATTCCACCGGTAGTGTTAGATTCCGATATTTGTAAATCTAAAACGGAAAGATGTGTCAACTATATACCTACCTAATGGCATGCAACATTACTGGTGGTAGGACCTCTTGTGAGTCCGCGCGGGTAGGTACCACCACCCTGCCTATTTCTGCCGTGAGGCAGTAATGCGTTTCAGCTTGAAGGGTGGGGCAGCCGCTGTAACTATACTTGAGACCTTGGAACTTATATCTCAAGGCGGGTGGCGCATTTACGTTGTAGATATCTATGGGCTCCGGTAACCACTTAACACCAAGTGGGCTGTGAGCTCGTCCAGCCATCTAAGCAACAAAAAAAAAACATACTGGGAGTTTCTAAAATTATGATATTGATCGCTCAGACCCTCTAACCCTAGATAGGTATGTTATGTTTTTTTTCCTACTTATTCGCTGGTAGCCTAAGGGGCTATTCCAGCTACACCGGACGGGTGGGTGAGCTCATGGGCTCAACCTGAAAGAATTTGCTAACACTAGTCCTACTAAGAACAGTGCTTCGCGGAATTTACCACCGGATCGGAATAGCGGCTTACAGAGAAGATTAGGCGAGAAACTCAGTGGACTGTATCTATGGGTTAATTCCGTTGGCAAGACGGTGACCGGGGCTATGATAACTGATGTACATTTAACACTCAAAATAACTGAAGCTCCCCGAGAGTTTTATGATAAGACAATTCACATCACATTTTATTTCCTCGTTGTTAACATATTATAATATACTATGGCAACAATTTAATTCCTTATTCTATACTTTTCCACTTTATTTGTTTTTTGAAGTGAAACTTCTTTAGGCGCATGGGGGTAAAGTTTTTACAGAACGTCACGCAGGTATGCAACGGAAGTGACATCAAACTACTATTGAAATTAAGTACTTGTCAAATGTCAGTAGTTGTAGTTGTTGTATTTTTCCAACTGGAAAGGCAAATGTATCATACCATACAGCCTAATATTTTATAATTTTTTCGTAAAAATGTTAATAGGAATTGAAATGAAATGAAAAGAATTTGGAACATTAATCAAATAGCATGAAATTAAATTAGTCAATTCAATTGACAAAATATTAGTCATTTACAATTTAGAAATCTAAACATAATGTGACTGTCAACACTGAGGTTTGAGATTGACATTTGACAGACTTTTGGCGGGAACATAATATCTTCCTTTTTCCCTTCCTCTAAGTCTCGAAAATCTAAAGTTTTAGATTTGTATAAATATAAGCAAGACATAAATTAGTTCGCCAAAAAAGTTTTACTTCTGATATGTGTACTTTGTACGCACGCACTTTTTTTTAAAGAATGTTTTACATACTTCAATCATTTTCTTTGTAATATTTTTAGTTTATAATCACGCGGAATCGCAAAATCGAATCGCTCATCTCAAAAAACCTAAAAGATTTTCTACAAGTGTACGATCTTTATTCTATCTTTATATTTTCAAAAATGATATCCGAATCAATTTGATTTCAAAACATAATATTATTTATTATAGTAAAGTCTACTGTAATCTTGATTATATATTTCTGGACTGTAATGCACGCTACATAAATTGATTATATTACTGCATTACAATGCGTGCGAGACAAGGTGAACACGGGGCCGTTACAGGGTTTATTAATAAAGAATAATAATTTCCTGTTTACCTGACGCTTCAAAAATCCAGCAGTCGGATACAGGTTGAGATAATGTGGGGGCTTTGGAAGCATGCAAGCATGCTTTAAACTTGAATCAAACATCTTTTACTTTAAATCGCCGTGATTTTTCTATATGAATACTTCACTTCGACTAAAATTCTTCTTTCAACAGCTTGACTTTGACATCAAGTAATTGACGCACTATTAGCAAAGGGTAAAATACTGACAGTGCACAGAGTATTGTTTCTTTCATCGACATAATGATAATTCGGGCAATAATTATACGGTACACTATTTTTCCACGGTGAAGGAATAACATCGTGTAATAAAAATCAAACCCGCAAAATTATAATTTGCATAATTACTGGTGGTAAGACCTCTTTTGAGTCCGCACGGCTAGGTACCACCACCCCGCCTATTTCTGCCGTGAAGCAGTTATGCGTTTCGGTTTGAAGGGTGGGGCAGCCGTTGTAACTATACTGAGACCTTAGAGTTTATATCTCAAGGTGGGTGGCGCATTTAGGTTGTAGATGTCAATGGGCTCCAGTAACCAATTAACACCAGGTAGACTGTGAGCTCGTCCACCCATCTAAGCAATAAAAAATAAATAAATAAAACCTACTTAAGAAAATCAAGTTGATAATTAATCATATTGTTGTATTTCCGAGTAGTATATATTTGACGAGTAGATTTAAAATTGGGTTTGAAATAAGTGTTTTTTTTTCATTGTAAGCAGACTTGCATACAGCCCATCTGATGCAGGCCCAAGTGACACGTAGGGTGGCGAAATCCTTTAAATATCGGTCTTTGCATTGTTTCAGAAAAAGACATTCACGGTTGTGCATTCAGGACGTGCAGCCGGGCTGACGTTGGATTGGTCGGCGGGGTTCTCGCTCACTGAGGGCACACCCGGAGCGTCTCCCGTCTGGTCGTATAGGTGAGGAAAATCGACCAGCCTAATTAGGCCCCCGTAATATGGGTCTAATCGAATAAGGGTATATATCGCGGCTTTTCCGATTTAGTCCCTACAGATTATTCATTTCGGAGTAAAACCAGTTGGAGTCGTGGCCTAAAAGATAAGACAGCCGGTGTAATCTTATCGAGCGATGCGACTGCCGGTTTTCAAATACCGCAGACAGCTATTTATTGATTGGTATAATAAAAAACGCATTTAGCCTATTATTATGTTCACGAATTACTTCCACGATGAAGAAGCAATATTGTGTAGTATAAAAATCATACCCGAAATAATATAGACCTCAAGTGTCGAGGTTTGTGATATACCCAGTGAATCGGGAACCCGTTATAAAAAAGCTGACCCACTTGGGCAGTAGCTGCTAAAGAAAGTCTTGTTTCGTATATCAGATATTAGGACCACGCACTTCACCACACCGGTAATTGCGACCCATCGTGCTGTCTCACATACTAAGCTATGTTTCAGATACGGAAATCTAATAATAATAATAACTAGGAACAAATCACGCACGGTCATTCGGTCCTAATCTGTGATTCCCTGTGTTATGGGTACCAGAGACTGACAAACATACTTATATACGTTTCTCCTCCTTAAAGAGCAGACGGTTAGCGTGGTATGGACATGTGATGCGTAGAGAGAAGATGCATGTGACTGGGAGATGTATACAAATGGTAGTGCAAGGTAGAGGTCAACATGGATGGAGTGTGTGAATGACGATATGAGAGAGAGAGGAGTGACTGTTGAGATGACGGCTGAGTGAAGAGAATGGAAGAGAAAAATCAGCTGTGCCAAACCCACCTAGTGGGATAGGGTGGAGAAAAAAAAGAAGAAACGTTTCTCTTTCTTGCGTCGATGCTCCTCAATGCTGAGGGTTGTGGCCTCATGAGGCTTTCTTGAAAAAATATACATGATGGGGTCCCGCGCCCTTCCATGGCAGTGTTTTTGGAAGAGATTTCAAGACCTCTGAAGCCTTAATCGGATCCTGCTTATTAACCGCCACCAGACATTCGGCGTTGAGTGTTTTACGGTGGAAAGGTCGAACTCCAATTCAACCCTCCTCTTTTCGCATCCGGGCTTGGAACCGGCATTGGTAGAATTATACTTTTAAACATCCATATATTATATATAGACAATAAACACTCACACAAAGAGCAAATAAACCTGATCATCACACAATGTTTGCCCGATGTGGTAATCGAACCCACGACCCTCGGTGCAAGAGTCAAGAGCGCTGACTTACTGCACCAATGTGTCAGTCGGTGTTCAATAACGCCTCAGAGTCATATGTTGCAGCTACTTAAGTCACAATTAATCCCATATAAATTAGTTTAGCTGTTAGCTTGTAAGAAGGCTGCACCAAATAAATAAATGCAGATTGTTTTATGACAACGAATTTTGTACAGATTTTCGCAATTAAGAGGTTCGAGTGACGATGGAAAATCCAAATTGAAACTCCACTTCCAAGACGCCGAAACGAAGGTCATTGAAACAAAAGTAAGTGCATCTGTACCGAAGCTAATTCACACATACAAAAATTTTCTTTTGCTTTTTTTTATTGCTTAGATGGGTGGACGAGCTCACAGCCCACCCGATGTTAAGTGGCTACTGGAGCCTATAGACATCTACGACGTAAATGCGCCACCCACCTTGAGATATAAGTTCTAAGGTCTCAAGTATAGTTACAATGGCTACCCCACCCTTCAAACCGAAACGCATTACTGCTTTACGGCAGAAATAGGCAGGGTGGTGGTACCTACCCGCGCGGACTTACCAGAGGTCCTACCACCGATAATTACGCAAATTATAATTTTGCGGGTTTGATTTTTATTACACGATGCTATTCCTTGAAAAATTGGTATCCGCCTGCGGGATTCGTACAGCGGTGCATCGCTCGCTACGAATGCATCGGACGTCTTATCCTTTAGACCACGACGACTTATCATCAGGTGGGCTTTGAGCTCGTCCACACAACTAAGCAATAAATAAAAGTTTACTTTTGCTTTCAGTTCGTATCGGTCACTGTTTTATAAGCATAATCATGACAGCCATTTTTTTTTTCTCCAGGAATTAGAATGTCAAATACTGCAGAGTCTATTGTTCTGCATGCACGCCTTCCTGACCGCAAAGGTGGCTTCCGTAGACCCGGCCTTCCTCGCGTCCATACAGCAGTCTAATTAAATATTAAACCCAAACGACTATAAACATTCGCTTATGTTAACATTATTACTGTGAAAATCTCCCTGAATACGCAAAGTGATGTTTGTTGTTTTTATCCGGCAAGATACCATCGACTGACGATAGATGGCGCTAGGACAGTTTAAATAATTAATTGTTTCGGAATTATTTTGTTAGTAATGAAAACTAGGATCTGAAGAGAAGCGCTAACGATAAGAAATATTTGTGAAGCGAAATGTACGTGCTAACTCTCTGATTGTCAATTTAATAGCGAAAACTAGTTGATAACGAATTAATTGACGTCTTTTAAACACGATCGGTGATTTTAAAATGAGAAGAACTACAGTTATATGTTTAATGTTGTTGGACGTGGAACAATTATTGGTTATTTCACTGATTCCTAGACTTCTTGATGCGATTTCAACTCTCGTGTGTTGTTTTAAGCAGATTAATTAACAAATCGCACCTTTAGAATTGCAAGTCGCCTTAATCCAATATTGTTGTTTTTTTTTTTGTAAAATGTAATAAATAAAAATATTTTTTCGATTTTAATACTCTATGGTAAGTATGCGCTTGATTTAAAAGAGACGGAAAGAGTACTTTGTCCTTTTCTAAACTAAAAGAGGCTTCTTTTAAAAATTCATAGAAGACATGTTTATAAGAAATATTTTTTTAGTTAAATCAATTCTAATTGTGCGAAATAGTTTTAATTTTTGTCACTAGTTTCGCGATAACGCCATTTTTTTTTGTAACAAATTTTTTTTGAAGCCCTTGTTAGTTCTCTTGCATTGGCGACAGATGGCGCGGATAGAGATCGCAGGAAGAAACTATATAGGAACCTTAAAGTCTTAACAACAGTTTTGTTTTAATTATACAATATTTTCTATTTGATATTTCCCTTAAAAGATTGTCCGTTCGCTTCGTATTTGTCGAGAATCTCAGGTGTGGTCACGTGAAACATTTAGGTAATGTTTTAAACGGTTTGTTGAAAATAGATGATATTATTATAATTTGTAAGTATTACTCCTCCACTATCACTAGTAAAATATATGTTATTTTTTAAGTAAACAAACAAAAGTGTCAATTCATTGGTAACTTTTGAAGTCCGTTCAAAATAGTATATATATATATATACATATAATAAATCAAATAAAACTCTTCCATATACCTTAAGAATATTTTATTTATATTAAGCATTCGAAGTAATCTTTATTTACAATCTCTAATAGTGTAGGAAAATCTAAAACAGTATATAATTATGTATAAATAGGAGTAGATTTGAATAATTAAACTTTGTTACATGAATACTTGCTTACAAAATTAGCTTAGCGTAACAGCTGTCTTTAGTAAGTACATAAAGCTTGCAATAAGCTCTAAACACTGACAGCGGTACAATAAAAGTTTGTATTTCTAATTCTCTTAAACAAATAAATTTGTAGACTCGATTTGTTTTTAATACCGCTCGATTATCAGTTTATTTTCATTAATAATGTGTATTAGAAGCATATTTATAAGAAACTATAGTAATAAATAAATAAAAATTGTTGTCTGTAAAGTCGGATTACGGAAGATAGTTACGTGATAACGTCAGTAGTAGAACTATTCGATCTGTTAGCTCTGACGTCACGCGAGAAGGGAGATAAATGTGTCACAAGCCAACGCTTGGGCCGATCGTGCTTCTATCGCTTGTTCCGCGCTCTCGCTTGCACGCTCAGGCTAAGGGTCAGCGCAGACAGAACGGAGCGCAGCGGAGAGGATTTTATTAACGCACTTGAAAATAAGCTTTCAAATTATAAAAATAAAGTGCATAAATGCTTAAACCCGACAGAAAATACTCGCGCGTGCTCGAAGATGCGCGGTGTTGAGTAGGGGCCCGCGTCGTACGCGTACGCGATCCATAAAGAAAATGCTTGAGACCGCGCGGGGATTATTCCTCTCTATCTGCGCTGATCCTAAGGCGGAACGTGACACTTTCTCGTGCGTGCAACCTGTTTTCGTCGATTAATAAGACGTTATCACGTAATTTTTTTTTACGAATACCACCTCATATTCGGACTAGTTTACGAGCTCGGCTACAAAGAGCGTTATTCAAGCTAAGTGTTTGTTTATGTGATGACTCCGCTAAATGTATATTGATAGACTGGCCTAAAAACTATTAAGAGACTAAACAGCGAAATTAAAGACTTGTATTTCTTGAAATGTTGCGAAAAACCCCAAGGACTATCGAAAAATTTTGGTACTGGATACAAAAAAATACAATAATTAAATAATAAAAATATAAATAGTGCTTTAAATATGTCTTGGAAAATAATCCCATTAACTTGAGCTGATAGGTTATGTCAGTTCAGAAAGGAGTCCATTATTGTCCGGCCGCTGAGATATAGCGAATAATCTAACACCAAAATTACAAATTTTATCACCGACTTGGTGCAACCCTGATTGCTGCGCCGAGGGTCGTGCGTTCGATTCCCGCGTCATTGCAAACATTGATGGACCGGTTTGTTTGCTCTTTGGCTAGGTGTTTTTTATCTATATATGTATGTATATATTTAACATCTCTCTCATATTTCATATTCTCATCTCTTATATTGATACTCATATTTCAAGTTGGGTGGCGGCATTTACGCTGTGGATGTCCGGTAACCACTTAACACCAGGCGGGCTGTGACCTCGTCCACTCACCTAAGCAAAAAAATAAAAATAAAAACATATAAAAGTATGTTTGTCAGTCTCTGATACCCATAACACGTGGAACCCTAAACTAGGACCGGATGACAGTGCGTGAATTGTTCCCAATTATTATCACACTTATCACGTTCATGATTTGTTAGTCTGGTAAATAAATCCAAAGCTACATCGTCTATTAGATCGTGAGCCCCCATCCACGCATTCTCTTATCGGCCGGACAGTTCAACGATCCTGGATGTTAATAGTGCGACAGAAGTGATTCTCATCGACTTATCGGTGTACTGAGTGATTGTTGCGAGCGACTTTTCGCAGCAACGCTGTGGAAGTATAAATAATCGCCATCTCGACAATCTTTTTCAAAATGAATGTTATTGCTCTAGTAATAGAATTCAGATTACAATGATTCATTTACTAACACAGATTATTATTATTAGAGCACTAAAATACGTCACTTTAGAAAGCATGATTGGCTATCTCTTTCTAGATACGTATTTGATATTGATTCGTTAGCAAAAATGCACGATTTCAAATTAAACATTTTTAAGACATTTAAATGTAACATTTTATCAACATGTTCAATTCAAGTATCAATTATTTTAAAAGTACATATTACTATTGTAGCGTTGTTATGTACATATATAATAAAGTATATACGATAAATTAATAATACTAAATCTTAGTAGATTTTTATATAGTGAAAGTAGGGTTGTTATGGTGTTTGTTCAAAAAATGTTTTTTTTTAATGATGGGCATATTTAAGAACTTTTCATTATGTTGCCCTTATTCATTTAAAATAATTTAAATGAGTAAAATATATATATACATCAACGAATTTGTCAATTTGAAAATACTATATTGGTATTTATTTTTAGACGGTGTGCGAGCTATGTAATAAATAAATCAATTCGGCTTATAAGTGAGCTTAGATTTGTATCCAATCGAACATAGGTATGTGGGCCTAAATTTTGCATTTTTAGAGTGCCCAAAACCTGTACAAATACTTCCAAATCCTGTTTACTTAAAAATACTAATAGTACATAATTATCGCTGAATGTGAAGTCAATTTATATTGCGAATAAAAAAACATTGTTTTGCAGTCGGTACGTGACAAGCAAAAATACCCAAAAAATATATTATTAAATGTATAGTAGGATCCAAAGTGTCTTCTTATTGGTCATTTGTGTATTATTATTATTACTTTAAATTTCCAATTGCTTGGAACTTTTAAGTACGTTAATAATATTGATGCTTGCTTAAGAATTGTAATGAGGTGTTAGACAGTGTGCGACAAAAATCCTGTTAGGATAATAATCAATATGAAAGCACACTTGTTACGAAAGATGATTTATTTGTATCAAATAAAAAATGGATTAAGTTCATAGCGGTGATCGAAAACCGATCGAGTCAGGGCTGTTGATCCTTGTGGGGTCGTGGGCCTGTGTGAGTAGCCTCAAATATTAGGAGACGTTTATTAAAAAAAGGCGCATAGACGCGTTTGAGATGCGGCGCTGGCGGCGCATGTTGCGCATCCCTTGGACGGCTTTCCGGACAAACGCTTCCATCCTCAACGAGCTAAAAGTTGACCAGAGGCTATCCACCAAATGCCTATATAGAGTGCTCCAATATTTTGGTCATATAGCAAGAAAACCCTCTGACAACCTGGAGAGACTCATAGTGACGGGTAAAGTGTATCCGAGTGTCTGGACATGACACTGAGCCACGCACTTCACTGTGCCACTGACCGATATAAGTGGCTACAAATTACAAAAAAAAGTTCACAGGCAGGCGCATCACGATGCTCAGCAATGAGCGGTCGACTGAAAGAGGATGATTAAAAAAAAATACAATAAATGAATTTACATTTTTTACTTAAAATGTTAATTTAAATGGGTTTTTGTCGCTCATTGCATAACGAAAGATTTTATGATGCTTAAAGTTCCATAGAACGTTTAAAACGAAAAAAAAAGAAATCATTTGTAATTATTTAATAGATTTTATTATAATAAATAAATAAATAAAATATTTTAAAAACGAAAACTGTTAACGTTTGCGCTTGCTTCATATCATTATATTTAAGTGAAATATTTTAAATGTTACAATAACATTTCGAGATTATATCATTAATATTTTTATTACGTAATATGATGTACTGAGAAAGGAAAAAGCAAATGAATTTATCTAATGCTAATTTGCAGAATGTTTTCAATCGTTACTTAATTAACATACTGTGTGCTCGATTTTCCATAGCTCAAGCAAATAGATATTGTATCTGAGCCAAAAGAAAGCTTTTAGATTCGTCCCAGTATCGACGTTGCTCGAGATATTATTTATTAATTAAATTATTTCGTGTGAACTGATGAAAATAATAAATCAAGAGGTCATTGATTTAAAAAAAAATGAATTATTTTTATTTTTATTTTACACAGTACATGTACATCAGTGTAATATTGTAGCATCGAAATGCGTATCCTAATTTGATAGGTTGAAATCAATCGGTGAAAATTCAAGACTAATTTTCTCAAATGATGTTTTTTTTTTAAATATGTTTAGGTCTTTTTCTAAGAAGGTATTTGAAAATTTAAATACGATTGATTAATTTTTTTTTATCCTATATATTGACAACGCCAGCTACATATATATTTATTATTTATTATCGTCGATGTGAATGTAGCGACAGAGGATTTTTGAAAGTACCTAAAAAAATCTGTACTATAATTCTGTCAAACGTTGTTATAGGTAT